AGAAAACACCGTCGAATTTGTGAATGCTGCCCGGCAGCTCGGAGCTCTACTCCCTCGTCCTCGGCATAGCTGAGATCCTGGGTATAGGCCCACTCGACAAGCTGTTGGAGTGCACATACTCACCAAGTCGTGCCGACTTGAAACTAAATTCGGTATTCAATGCCACATTCACCGCCTCTTCAATTGAGGTAGGATGCACGCGGAAGACTTCCATTCTGGCCACGACAGGGCGGAGGCCTTCCATAAACACGGTCACTGCGACCGCCCCCGGGAGAGGATCTGCTGTCATCCCGGCAATGAGAGCTCGCAAGTTTTGGACAAAGTCCACCAATTCCCTGTTGCCCTGTCGGATGGCAAGGAAACGCGATCGCACGCAATATGCCTGATTAGGCGGCGAGAACACTTGGGAGAGCTGCAACTTCTGCTCCGCCCAGGCGGAAAACGCAGCTCCGAACGAAGTGCCGCATGTCAGTGCCCATTCTCGCGCTCGACATCGAGCTTTGAGATGGCTAGCACCATGCGCTGTTGCTCGGTCTGCAGCATGGCGGATGCGATGGCCATCTCGGCCTCTCTTACCCAGAGCAGGAGATTCTCTCCAATCTTCCCCTCAAAGACCTTAACGCTCATCACGAGCGGCTTAGGTCGGGGGAAGTCATCCGTCACCGACGGTGGCGTCATAGACGCCAACGATGCAGACATCTTCTGCTGCAGGTGCTATAGCAGCGCGTTTTCGTAACTGAAAACGCCTCTAGACGCGCACCGATTGCCTCGGGGCCTTTTGCTACAAGATGTTGCACGCCCTCAGGGCCAAGCAAGGACATCAGCTTGTTAAGCCCGTCCTGCATGCCCCGGGGTAACGATAGAAATTCTTCCATCCTCACAGAGGATCAGTCTAAACGACTCAGGTGTAAATTGATTACAAGTGCTACCAAGTACAGCGAGGCTGCCGTAGCAAAACGCTTGAGGAAGCGTAACCTAGGTTACCGACAATTCGTTCTTTTCAAGAACCAAGTATGAGTTAGCGGATCGCAATCCGCTTACCCCAAGAGTTATTTTTGTCTTCCCAAGGCTAATTTACTCCTCGGTTTAGATTCCAAATTGATTTTTATTTATTTATTTCTCCTTATGTTAAAAGTTTAGATTTTCCTAAATATACTAAATATCAGGCACGGTGTGACTGCACCCAAATAAAAATACGGTACACGTATAGTAAAATCTAAATACATGCATAGCTACCCCGTATTCTTGTTTGGATGTGTGGTCACATTATGCACATCTCGTGTGACACACCCACCCCTGTTCCGTTACAGAAGCGATGTTTTGGCGCTTGTCTTCATCTCGACTCTCTTGCTCGGGCAAAGATTGCTGAAGTGTATGGAGCAGGCGATTCCTTGTTCTGCTTCGTAGTTTGACGTAGAGGTTGAGCATGGCCACAGAGTCTCTTGTTCAAAAAAGACAGCTTTAGACTAGAGATGAAAACCTTGTGTTTGATGTTTAAACTCTTGTTGAGCACCTTGAAGCTTCTTTTCATGATCTTCTGCTTCATGAATAAACGTTCGGATCTCAGTCAGCAACAAATCATTCTGTCTTTTCAGCCTCTGGTTTACCATCGCGCTTCACTCGCTTCCGCCATAGCAACAGCAATTTGGCCTTCAGTCTGTGTCCGCATGTTGCGTATTTCCGTCACGAGCACATGTCGTTGACCTCGAGCTTTCACCAATTCTTGTGTCATTTGCAATCGCACATTTTCTTAAGCTTGAATATTCTCTTCGGACTGTTGTTTCGTTGCTGTCATTTTCCTCGCAACTTTTCAATCGAGTAAAAGTACCCGTTAAATGATTGGCGCGGCAAGCAACTTCTGATGGTTGAAAACCATTGTCACGGCGTGATGAAAATTGCAAGAGTCGTTGTAACCCTTGCTCTTTCAAACGAATAAGATGTACCTTTGAGTTCTGTACAATCGGACAGAGGTCGTATGTGTATGTGTATGTACATTGCACAACTGCTCAAATGTGTAATGTGACGTATTCCGTCGCAACTTCAAACTATTCCTTTTTTCTGTAGCAAGAAAGTACTGTAATCTCGTGACTCATGCTTACATATTTGCTAAGATCTACGATACAATGCAGTGAAATTGTACGAAGTTCATAACGCTTTGGTTCATTGCGATAATTTTAAGTTTCGAAGTATCGGTATCGATGAAGATAATGGAGATTCGGAAAGTAGTCCAGGGTATCAGATCGTATCATTAGAGATAGTTAAACGAAGTTTCATGATATTAATCTAAGAAGTATTAAATCTAATTATCTGTCTTCGTTGAACTGCAAAGTTGACTGGACACTTCAAAAAGAGGGCACGAAGCGTGCCGCAACCCGTTGCATTTTTATTCTGCTGTCTATCAAAGGATTTAGTTTAGTGAAGACAAATAACGCGTGTCACAGTGACATATTCCAACGTTCTGCTGTATACATAAAAGGACAGTGTCATTTAAGCTGATATAATTACCACAGCTCATCATGGAGTACTATCCACAAATAGTAACCTTCATGTTTTTTTCCTTCATCTTCACTAAACGTTATTTATATCAATAAAATTAACGGAGCAAAAGCGTCTTCTGATTTCGTTAGCTGCCAGTGGCGAGAATCTTTTTTTCGTAGCAATGAAGGAAGACGAGGCTTAAACTGCTGCTGCTGTTGCTGTTGCTGTTGCTGATGCTAGAGCAGCAAATCCCTAGAAGAAAATGAAATTTTTGAAGCTGATGGCCAAGAGCTGCAGATCAGGCGAAGAAAAAGCCAGCGCGAGATTCAGGATCAGTGATGCTGCTGCTGACGCCAACGACTGAGGCTCAGTGATGCTCGCTTAATGGCTGTACAGATGAATTCGCCCTGCTTCTAAGCACATCTTGGTTTGTCAGCATCACTACAAATCGTCCGACCAGATTTAGCTTGACAGCTCGAAATCCAAATGATTTACACTAACCTGATTTCACTTCTCAATTTACTGAAGGAAAGCGATGTTGTTGCGCTTCTCGTCAATGCTGCTTCTTTCCGAAGTCTGCACGTGCTTGGGGCTTGAGTCGAGCAATAAACAAGACGCATATAAATTGAGCAACGACTACTCGTTTCAGCCTATCGATCATATTAATACCAAAACGACAGCTTCTTCTCGATCGACCTTCCAACCCAACGACAACAGTGAAGAATTCACGCTTGGCCTCGAAGACAGAGTCAATGAAGCGAGATCTTTTCAGAATACACTGGAAAAAGACTTGGAGAAAGTTCTTATTCAAAGCAGCTGAAAAATTGGAATCCAGCAAGCAGGAGACTGAACTAGCTGATGTGATAAAGCAGTTAAAAACTGAAAAAGAGCTCATGGCGCTATTTGACCAGCTTAAGTGCACACATACCGCGGACGAACTGGCCGTTAAGCTTCAGGAGCTGGAAAATAGAGAAGGGTTGGAGGCTAGGGTGAAGACATTGCAGAGGATTCTGATGAATCAACGTAATACAGCATGGCTGATGGAGGGATCTCCTGATTCTTTTCAGCATTTCAACTTCCATCAGGTTCACTTCGCTGAAAACAAGGTTTTTTACAGCTGGCTTTTTCATCTCATATCGTACAGACAGAAATACGAGCCGGAGGCATTCACAGACAAAGAAGCAGTCGATTTGCTTCAAAAGAATAAAGACTTGCCTGGTCTGGCTACAGACTTTTAGTCGATCAAGAAAGTTCCAGGACTAGAGGAGCTCGCCAAAGACTTGCAGACTGAAGTTTTTCGTAGACTGGCTGGTGTGAATGACGATTGGATGCTACCATTTCGGGTGACCCATGAACATCAGCTTAAACATAATCCACGGCGGGCAGAATTGAGTTCAGCCTTTTTAAAGAACTACAATGAATACCTTCTCAGTCAAAAGAGTCAGCATTCATTACGCAGTGTGGAAGAACCGATTGCTGACAACGTCGCCCTTTAAACTGTGTTACATGTCGATATTGGTACGACATCACTTTGGACAATAATGATAATAGATAATCAAGTTTTATCTTTACTTGGTGTCGACATTGTCTTGAATTTTGTTTTTATTGCTAAGGATCATCAAAATCTTTTGAGATGCTTGTAGATCAATATACTAGCACGACAACTTAAGCAAAAAGATTGCCTTGTCGGCATCTCCGCAGATGACGTGTGCCTTTGCTCAAATAGCTTGTGTCGATACAAATGATCACGACCTTGTCGCCATTCGAGTATGGCGCTTTCGTATCGACAGCGAGGCAAAATTCTCGAAAATCTTAGCTCAATTGTGTGTTCGCTACATGAATTGCTGGACACCCAGTCTGTGAACCCGCGGCATACACAACCGACTATCACTCTGAACCTGCCAATCGAAACAATCTGACGACTTGTGAGATAAAAAGATAAAGTACTACTACGAAAGCTTTATATTCTTTAGAAGGTTGTGATATGAAATCATAGTGTATAAAATACCACGAGATGCTTCTCTCAACAAATACAAATAAACAGAGGTAGAGGAGACCAATTCGCAAAAAAATGAACATTTACACTTGCCACGTCAGCATCTCACTAGATAACATACTATAGGCTTAAAATGCGTTTTTGCTAATATGGCCACGTGTCGGCCGCTGCATAATGATTGGCTGCAATTTGCAATCTAAAGCATTTGGCATTCCGCATTACGAATCCATAAGAATCTAGATCATCCTAACGAGCAATATGAAAACTGTAAAGCTCCTAGCCTCATTAATTGGGGCTGGCTTGTTGTCCTGTTCGACGATCGATGCCATTGTGGCGGGGGTAGACTTTGGTGGAGAGTATTTCAAGGTGGCACTTGTCAAGCCCGGCACCCCATTTGAGATCGTCACTAATGTACACAGCAAGCGCAAGACTGAAACGATTGTGGCCTTTGACGGCGACGAGCGCCTTTATGGGGCAGACGCTGCTACTGTGGGTGTACGCAGACCTCAAACAGCGTACATGCAAATCCGTCGTCTTCTAGGTACGAAGCTGAGCGATCCACAGGTCATAGCCCTGCGAGATGAGGAGCATCTACCTTATGAGCTGATTCAAAACGCCACGCGTGGCGGCACTGTCATGCTTCAACACGGAAAAAAACAGTTCTTTCACGCTGAGGAACTCGTTGCTATGGTGTTTACCCACGCGCGCCAGATCACTGATACCTTTGCTGAGGCGTCTGTGAAAGATTGGGTGCTCACAGTTCCTACTTACTTTTCCCAAGCCCAGCGCCAGGCTATGCTAGATGCTGCTGATATTTCGGGTGTGCGTGTTCTGTCGCTAATTAATGAAAACACGGCGGCAGCGCTTCAGCTGGCCGTGCATTCAAGTTTTGATCCTGAGGAAAAGCCAAAAAAAATTCTATTTTACAACATGGGCTCTACTTCACTGCAGGTGAGCATCGCCGAATTTTCAAGTCAGGTGGTGCCGGACGGATTCAAGAAGAATAAGACTATTTCTATCTTTCAGACTATAAGCAATGCGTGGGATGAATCGTTAGGTGGTGCCAAGTTTGACTTGCGTCTGGCTGAACACTTGGCCCAGGAATTCAGTGACAAGATTGGTGAAGATATTCGAAAAGTGCCTCGTCCGATGGCTAAGATTCGTGCACAAGCGAAGAAAACAAAGACAGTACTGTCGGCCAACGAAGAGATTCCTGTTGTCATGCAAAGTCTGCATAACGACATCGACTTTTTTACGTCCATGACACGCACAAAACTCGAAGCACTTTCATCCGATCTTTTTGAACGCACTTTGAAGCCCGTGGAGGTGGCACTGGAAAAAGCTGGACTCACTGCTGCTGACATTGATGAGATTGAACTTATTGGTGGTGGTGTGCGTATGCCCAAAATTCAGCAGCAGCTGTCCGAGTTCTTTGTCGGAAAAGATCTAGGTGTGCATCTTAACGGTGATGAAGCCATGGCATTAGGTGCCGCATTTCGAGCTGCCAACTTGAGCAACTCGTTCCGTGTGCGACAGGTAGGAATGACTGATATCGCGACTTATCCAATAGGTGTGCGCCTTGTGGATCTGTCGTCATCTGAGCTCACGAATAATAAGGAAGAGGAAGATATGAAGCAGTGGATGAAGCGTGCAGCGCTATTCTCGGAGTCGCATCGCCTTGGTGTGCGCAAGTCGGTGTCGTTCTCGCATTCAAGTGACTTATCCTGTACCTTTCGTTACGACAAGCCGTCAATGCTGCCTGTAGGTGTGAATGTTCACATTGGTACATTCAATGTAACGGGTGTCGAAAAGTTTGCTGCACGTATGGCTGACAAGAATCTAGGTGAACCAAAAGTTACGCTCACTTTTGAGCTGGACAGTAATGGTATTGCTCAGATTGCGAAGGCTGAAGCCACGCTCGAAGAGGAAGTCGAAGTTGAAGTTGTTTTGAAGAAGGAAAAGAAGAGCAAGAAATCGAAAAAGGAAGATAGCAGCACAGATAGCAGTGCAGCCGGTGATGAAAAGATGGTCGAGGAGGAAGAGAAGCCAGAGACCAGGATGGAGAAGCAGATAAAAACCCACCGAGAAAAGCTGATTGTTGTGCGCGCGCATGACGCGCGTGAACCCGAAGATGATGTTAGTGTTCTTCCTATGAGCGAGCATGCAAAGAAGGAGTCGATGCGGATGCTGAGAGAGATGGAGAATGACGACAATAAGCGTCGTGCGGATCTTGAGGCCAAGAATAATCTTGAGACTTTTATTTACACAGCTCACGATGCTCTTTCGGCCCAGGAAAGCCAGATCAAGCTAGTTACAATACCAGAGCAGCTTGAGTCGCTTCAAAAGAAGTTGACGGAGACAGAAGAGTGGTTGTACAATGATGGAGAACACGCAGAGGCTGCAGAGTACAAGACGAGAATGGAGGAGCTGAAGTTAGAACTTGATTCCATTCTTTTCCGCGTGGCGGAGCTGAAAGAGCTACCGATTGCAATAAGTAACGCGAAAGAGTACGCTTCCACTACGCGCGAGCTCGTGGATGAATGGAGCACGAGTAAGCCGCAAGTGACGGATGAGGAGCGCAACGATGTGGTCGAGAAGCTCAATGAGTTAGAAGCATGGCTCACTGATTCCGAGTCTTCGCAGAAGACCGCCCCGAAGCATGAGAAGCCTCTTGTGACGTCGGCAGATGTCGCTAAAAAAGTTCAAAGTGTCAAAAAGTTTGTCGTTGTTTTGGCGAAGCGACCGAAGCCACAGCCGGTGAAGACTCAGGAGAACGATATTGAAGGGTTTGGCTCCAAGACTGAAGACGAGACTTCGTCTAAGATTGCTGACGAAGATACAGATGCCACCAAGTCTGAGAACGAGAAGCCTGCTGGTGAGAAAGATGAGACAGATGTCACCAAGTCTGAGAACGAAAAACCTGCTGAAGAGAAGGATGAGTTGTAGAGCACGTTCATCAAATAAAAATCGCTTCGTCTCTTTCAGGTGTTGTTGTACGGTAGTTACTTTTGGAAACTGGTTCAAAGCCTTTCACAAAATGAGAATATCGCGTTACTACTTCATTTGGGTCCAGTTTCAACCATGAAATAAATGGTGCAATCTTCACCACATTCTCCAGCTCTTCTAATTTCCCTAACTTGCGATATCTCCGCAATAATACTCCTTTCCCTTGTGGTTTACACTGCACAATTTCTGTTCCTTCCCCATTCTCTGAAGGACATTGATAGTACCGATTCACGCGTTGTCGATCTACTTTGCCATGCATAGACGTCATCTTATAAAACACATCTTCGCGTTTTGGATGATATTTCTTATCTTGTACTACCTCGCAGTATAAATCATAGAGTGCGAAGCGACCTGTATTCGGAATGAAGCCGATGTTGTCGTCATTCGCAATAGGCCGCGTGAATGTATCGACAAATTGCGCAATGATTGTCGCAATTGAGCGTGGTGGACTGAAAGTACTTAGAGTCGTTAAGACAGTGGAGAGATCAGTAACATTAAGCGGCGAGGTAGGCGCAGGAATTGCAGCAGTTTCGGATTCATCTAGTCTTTTTCTCTTGTACGGAAGGATTACATTTGTTTCCTCAATGACATTGGCCGATAGATCCATCTTTTCGATGATCGGAACTTGGCTATCTTCTTGCATCACTATTGCAAAGTGTTGACCATTTGGCAACGTCGATGACACGGGCACCACATCACCATCAGCATCTTCGAGTAAAAATTCGGTATCACGTGGCAAACGTAGCTGTATGCGTATTGCCTTCTCTACTTGAGCATCGGATGTGTTCATGTACCAGCAGATCCGACACGGAGCATCATTTCCTGCGGCAACATACACATTTACCTTCATATTTGAGAGATGGGTACTAGCGACAAAATTGCACATTGTCAAATTATGTAAAACACATATATAACCCTTTGCATTTAAGGAATTCGATTATAACATACACATTCGTATGATTCGTCATCGGACACAAAGTAGTCAGATGGTGGTAATATTGATGATCCTCCAAGAAAGCCAATAATTGCATTTGTTGAAATGTAGATTGCACTCATGAGCTCACCCGAAAAACTAATGTTTTGAGCGCGAGAATGCTCTGAGTGTGCAGCTCTAATGGATCCTCGCTTGATAAAACGGATTGAGTTCAGTTCAAGTTAAAGCTTATGCATTCTCTGTTTACTGTGTGGAGTATCGGAGGAAGATGACATTGAAGCTGGCTCAAAATAGAAGGGCATCGTAAGAACTTAAAATTTAATTGTGCATGTGGAAGGAACAAGCTGGCTCCGTCGTTTCAGACGGGTTTGAATTGGCCTTGTCGTCGGCCTATACCATTCGCTGCTGCTAGGGCTGCGAGGTAAGGTCTGAGCGCAGATTCATTGGTGATGCTTCCCTTCGGTAGTGCGTATAAAGCTAAATTGGCTACTTGAGGTTATCCAGGTATTTTGTAAAGCAAATGGGTCAACATTATGCTCAAAGTGTGCACGACACGTGAGAGCGAATCGTTGTCCGATTCGCCCAGCGCTTTCGCATTTTATGGTAAAGTCGAACCCGAGTGCCGAATTAATCACCTTCGCTTCTGCTAACTTCGACAGGGTTTCGAGTATCGTTCAGATTAATTGGGCGTCGCCCGTTAGAAAATTGTTGTGACAAATTCGAGAACAACGAAAACAACAAGACCGTTGTGACGAATTCGAGAACAACGAAAACAATTTTCTTCATCTTCATCAAGACAGGAAGAAATGGTAATACACAGGTGAAATGCATGGGTTCCTATACATTCGTGCACACGCGAGCACGAACACTTCCTGCACGTGCTGAAACCTGTCTCACCACTCGTTGTCCCCTCGGCTTAGTTTGATGATTTGCAAATATGTTTACTAGTCATTGAACTTGACGCAATGTTTCGCTTTGCGCCTCTTCGTCTCGCCGTCTCGCCGTGTGGGTTTCGCATCATGAAATTGGCCAGCGACATCATAGCCACTTTTATTACAATGCAGCGAGTTATGAAATGACGGCTGATTGGTCCAACTTGCGATGTTTCAAACGATACGGAAGTGACACATTCCATCCATCCGACCATGTGAGTTGATCTTATCCCAATATTTATTAAATCATCAATTTACCCTTCTAACTACACACAGTTTCAGTGCACTGCGTTACAGAGCTAGTTTTCGAATCCTCGAACTTACAGCTGATGTTTTATTATACAGTTACGCACATTTGGCTAGTTATTATCCTGGCACTACAGGGAAGTAACGACGCAACAACTTTCGCCATGAAATACTTTACCGGCGGGCATTTTATGTTTTCCTATGTATTGATGTGAGGCCAAGGCTACCCGATATTTGCCCGAGATTACTAAGTCTAAAACCGATTACGCAGGATCTTAATCTTAAATTGAGGAACCCTCTTTTCCACATTATAACAAGAGTACAGCTTGCAATGTCCGATATTGAAATTCAAAGCCGATTTGATCCAACATTACAATAAGTTGTCATCCAGGTAATGGGTGAGATTTACGTTAGCGTAAGCGCAAGAAGGTAAATTTCTTGATTGATAACAATTGATGGTGCGTTTGACTTTATGTATTTATTGATTCTTCGAAACAGATAAGGTCAAAAGTCTGGCAGCAGCGAAATATACTAGCTACACATCTCCTTAAGAATCGAATTCAACAGTTGGGTTCGATCAGTCAATCAGTTACAGCCACTTTTTGTAAAACTTGAAGTACGAGATTGTCCCCGTGGCGATGGTTGATACAACGCCCCACCATATAATGTATCCGTTCTCGCACTGCAATTCAGGCATGTTGACAAAGTTCATACCGTATAGACCAGTAAGAAACTGGGCTGGCAAAAACACAGTAGCAACTAGCGTCAACGTGTAGCTCACTTCACTCTGTTGCATATGCCGTGCATTATGAAAATCGTCGAGGAGAAAACGACATCGATCCAAAAGCCGGTCACAAGTTTCATCTATCACTGTCACATGATCTTGAATGTCTCGAAAATACCGTAGCGTTTCGCCTTCGAAATCTCTCGAATTAATGAGCTGCGTGATCATTTCTCGCAGCGGTTTGCATAATAATTGCAGCCCCTTGATCTCTTTTGAGCACTTGGCAAGCCGATCGGCTTCAAAATTTAATGGATCGAGGCGTAGAAGGCGAGAAAGCATTGCGACCTTCGCACCATACGTGTGAGCAATAGGCGACAATTCATCAACGCAAACATCCACAATCGAATAAACGAGGAACGCAACACCGCTGTGGCGAACCTTGGAGTATGAAGTATCCAGCCGCTTTTTCAATGTTGGCCATAATGTACTTTGCGACTCTTGGACACTAATAACCACATTTTCCATTATGTACAGACTCAGTTGTTCGGGCGGTGCCATAATGCGTCCCATACCTAAGTCGTCGAGTCTCATCTCTAGCTCAGCTTTGCTCATAGTTTCGAAAGGCGATACTCCATTATCTTGAACATATAACGAAGCGCGATACAAACGTTGATACTCTAAAGTCTTTTTCAAATCACGTGCGTGAACAGTTTGAAGAACTAGTGAAGAGTGCTCATCATAGTGTTCGTACTTAGGCCGCTCAAGATCGGCAACCAATGTATCCTCTACTGCAAGTGGATGCAGTCGATATCGCACTGCCAATCTCCGCATTAACAATGGATCCGTTCCTTCTACATTGATCCAGCGGACAGTTGCCCAGTTTGGTCGTCTTGAGTACATAAATTTCTCCACTCCTTCAATTGGGTATGCGCTTCGAATTCTATCGGGTGCGTACTCGATTGATCCTAGTCTAGCAGCTGGTACATTGAATCCATATACTTTATAGTACTCCCGATTCAAAGCTTCCACAAAGTCTGGACTGAAGAGTTGTGCTAATTTAATCTCCTGGATTGCGTACATGAATTCTTCGTACGTGATTCCTCCGCTTTTGTCGTCATCCACTTGGCCGATAAAGTCGTTAAATTCTTCATCGTTCACGCACGAAATTCCCATAGCTTGTAGACCCCGTCGGAATCCGTCATAAGATACCATGCCACGCTCTGTATTTACAATTTAAGTAACAGAAGCGAAATTCCATTAGAATAGCAAACAAATGTTCCTTGCAGCTAACGAGCTGCTCACCATTTGGATGAAAGAGCGTGAAAAGCTTCGTGAGCTTTGCTGTGGTAAGGTCGTAATGCGGATCCATCAAATCCCATTGATCCGTTTCTTCAGCAGCTGACACACCTTCGGACCAGTCCAAAGGATGCAAATCTCTTGCTCTGGATACAAGACTTAAAAGGTCTTTTCCATGTAGCGTCGGCAACAGTGGCGACGATTTCTCGGGTGTCGACGAAGCCAGAGTGCGACATGCAAACCAATTCCGGTGCTTAGGTGAGCCAGAAATTGGAATTATACATGTGCTGGAAAGTCCATATTTGAGTGCGATTCGAGTACGATGGATCAACGAGGGTCGAGCGCTACTCTGTCGTACCCTAATAAACATATTATTCCGTCTATCACACGATTGAAAGGGGTGAAGTCGAACAAAACATACAAAATCAAAATTGCTATTCTTTACATTGGTTATTAAAATCAATCGACATTTTTTAACCTTTAACCAAATCTTTCTTCAATTTGATCATTAAATCTATAATTTGAGTAAAATGGATAGAGGTTGCGGTGAAACTGCCGACCCGCTCGCGGCGCTGGAGGCGGAGTATGCAGCGGTTCTGGAGCAAGATCTGCATTACGGCAAGGATGGTGATCCTCCTTTGCAGAAGTGTGATGTTAAAACGGTTGATAGAGATAGTGATGTAGAGGAGAGCATAGGAGAGAGCTACACTTTGCTGCCATCATCACCTTGCAATAGTGAAGATGATGTGCTCGATGACGATACATACACTGAAATTACTTCAACTAGCGTACCGGTAATTACAGAAGTTCCAGTGCAGCAGATTGCCAGCCATATACAAGAGGACAAACGCGCGGTGATCATGCAATGCATGAAACAGGTCAAGGTGCGCCCGCCGCCATGGGTAGAAGCTTCTAAGCTGACGGACGACGAGCTGATCAACATAGTGAGAAAGCAACTAATACTCAAGACCAGCAATGCATTTTAAACTCTTTTTCCATATCAATTATTTGTCTCGGTACTAATCAACTTTTGCACTAAGAGCAATGATACTTGATAAGTGAAAAACCATCCAAAGGTTGAATATCTCTTATCACAACGACAAAAGTTTATTATGCGTGCAGTGACAGTGGTTCGCCAGTTATATCATTAATCAGCGCTTCGTTACTAGGCAGAACGCGTGTCCCACCGCCGACACGTGATACATATATCATTTTTACAGTATCAGGGCTACGCGAAAGTTTACACGCTTTGCTGCTCCCGATTTTATTTTCCATTTTTGCAAGAAGTGTTTCAGACAGCGTGCGGTCGACAAGGATTGATGACTTGACAATCATCTGTGGTGATGCTGGGAAGCAATAAAGCACAAGTGACACAATATCTTGAACATTCTGTTCTTCAACAAAAATCACAGCGTTTGGACCAGCGTCAAACGTGTACGCAGCCTGCACGCGACCGGCTTGTTCATTGTAGCGGTGCACAAGATTAATTAATTGACAAGACACGTCATTTAGATAGAAAATTGGTGGCGTGGTGTCAATGCACATGGCATGAAACTGGTTACTGTCTTGCATCGTAAGAGTACCAAAAGTTTCAAAGTCTCGATTTAAGATCGCCTTTTCCATGATTGTCATCCGCTCTGGCACCAAGTTCTTGGCACGAAACGTCAGCAGTGAACTGGTGGCCTTTGTCGTCTGCATACCAACAGAGCTACTCGTGCTCTTTTGAACGTCGTTTACCACACACACAACAGCACAGAGTGCAGGCCAGTGCAGCTCATCGGCGATTTGGGTAGCGATGGAGTCGTGGCCGTCGGATCGCACTCCTTTCCGCCAAGCGACGAAGCCACCGTCTAAACTTCTGCAAGCAGACCCAGATCCCTGACGTGCGATTGCTGATAGCTGACCTTGAAACTCTTCGTCGCTTTTAGAGATACCATAAAACTCGGCAAGCGTCGCCACGAGACACGCGTAGCCCGCGGCGGATGATGCAAGTCCTGCCGCTGTTGGAAACGAGTTGGTTGATACAATATGCAAATGCAATTCGTCCTGCCTCTCGCTTTCACCATGTACACGACGATATAATTGCTTCATCTCGCGCAACACCACGGCTATACGTCTGTTTATTGGCTGCTCTTGGCCATTTAGCCAGAGTCGCGTAGTCTGCAGCGCCGATCCGCCAGCCACCGACGTTACGGTGCGCAGCTGATCCTGGTGCAGTGTGACACTAAGTGATGAGTTCATAGGTGTATTTATTTCCTCATTATCCTTTCCCCAGTACTTGATCACCGCAATGTTTGTAGGTGCTGTGCATGTTACCACCTTCATTTGCTTCGAGTAAACGATACATAACTGACACATTAAATATTACAATCCATAATTCATAGTTGTTACGATAGTTCGCTTTCTCTCCATACCTTATCGATTCCGCAATGGGCGTAATTTCTGTTGGCGCGTCGTTAGGTGTTCGCAAGGAACGAACTCCAGCGCCAGTCACGTCGGCTCCAATAGCCATCTCATCTGTGCGTCGTCCATTAACATCTGCAGCAACGCCCTCTGCGACGTCAAATAGCTGCAAAAAGTTGTCCAAGAAACGTGGGACCGCTTTTAGCGCGAAAAAGCAAGCTATCAACTGCGTATCACCATCTAAATACGATCGCGCGGCCAATTCAGTAACCTCAATCTCACAACGTAGCCCCAGTCATAACAAATACGAGCCTGCATCACTCTCGGATGTGGCGACAGCTAGCTCGTTGGGTGACATGCAAACGCCTGTGGAACGTTTGGTGAACGTCAAGACAACAATCCATCCGCATGTCCTTGTATCGCATTTGAATGGTAACAGCAGTAAGCTTGAGGCCATTATGTCGCGTGCTAGGTGTAATATTAATTACCGCAAGGCATCGTCACTAGAGTATAGAGATGATGGATCGTTCTCCATGGCTTTCATGATCTCAGCTGATACAGTTAAGCATGTGAAAGATGGAATGCAGTTACTTTATGGATTTGTAGAAAGTATAGAGCAGCAGCTGAAGAAGAATTTAGAAGGGAGCCGGCAAGAAGAGGGCAACAACCAAGTGCAGGGAATGACAGCAACGAAGACTGAGGAACCGAAACAACCTAAAGACCCAGTGCAATTAGACCGCGAGAAGCACTTTTCAGGACATCAGGCAAAAAGGATAATTCCTTGCAAAAAAAAAACCAATAGTATCAGGTTTCGAAGTCGAAGTCGAAGTCGAAGCGCTTCACGAGAAAAATCAGCAATGCGGCACCCGAAGCGTACGTCATTGTGATGTTGTCAGTGTTTTGACTTGATAAACATCATAAATTTTGTGTCTGCTGGTTTTTAGGCCTCCGTGAAGTAAGCCAGAATATACATCGCATGTCAAAACGGAATCATAAGGACGATCTGCGAATTGTGAATGAAGTTTGTACGCCAAATTCGCGTAGGCCCAAAGTACACAACAAGATTAGGAAAGCGGATGTTTGCGACACCGTGATGCAAGCAGTTGAAGATCAGCATATGCGTGATGAAAAGGAGGCGTTTCGGATACGATTGGCTCGCACTGTCATGATCCAACGTCAGCTAGAAGCCGCGACCAAGCGATCTCGCGCACTTGAAGTATTTGAACGCGACAAGTATTTACAGCTGCGACGTAAATTTGAGGAGATAGAACATCGCAAAAAAGTTGCCGAGCTCGTACTACGAAAGCAGTGTAATGCAATGTCTGCGTCAGTGGCGATATCGTCACCTGTGGAGAAAAGGCAGCATCTACACGAGATCGAACGGCTTACTATTGCCCACGATGCATGTTCGCCAGCGGTGGGTCATTTACTGGCTTCCATGCTGCATCTTAAGACTTCAAAGAGAAAACGCTTTAACATGAGCGAAGCGAAATTAGCTGGTTTTCTTCAAACTCACGATATTGCATTAACGGACGACTTGATGCGATTTATCGAGAAAGTTAAAGTTTTTACAAAAATGATCACCACTGACTCGATTGACTGCTCCTACAAGGAACTTTTTAGTGACAACGACAATGCATTGCATGATTTGAACAAAACGAATACTTCTGCTGTTTCAAATGAGGAAGCAGACGTCGCAATGGGCGCAACGAGTGATGATGCGACAGAGGCTCATGTCTCTGGAGAGTTTCTGGCAAAAGATACTGAGGATGAAACAAATACACGGCATGAATCTTTTCGTTCAACCTGGGACCTACCTGGATTAACTCGCGACCTCAATTTAATTCAAGATTACAGTTCGGAAACGGATTGCAAATTGCTGCATTTTCTTGCAGGCGAGCGTCAGTATTTTTATCTGGAGCCGCTCGTAAGTACTCCTAACGTGGCGAAGTGGCTTCTCACTCCTCATGATCTTCAAATTTTGCATCGGTATATCTTGGAACGCGCGAACGTCGGACATGAGCTTGTGTTGTATGCCGAACGCGTGCGCGCGTGTGGAAATCTAACGCCAAGTTCTACTTCATTTAAAAGTCCGTTAATCAGTGAGCTGAATGTTTTTGAGTCCTCTCGACACAGAATGTGGAGTGACTTGCAAGACAAGATCGTAACTTTGCACTCCCTTGCTTTAGTAGTGCATATGGTAGGAAAACACTTTTTTGCAAGGCAAACTTTTGAACACAGCGAGGCTCTTCACACTCACGGAAACCTTTTAAATGAAGAAACTCTGGAGTCTGATTTGTTTACATACATTCTACGGCCAATCAGATCTTCTGCTATTGAGTCTAGCTTGTTTGATTCTCTTCCTATTTCTCTCGTCCGAGAAACCATTGAGCAATGTCCTGAGGTCGTCAATCATGTTTTGCAGTGGAAAAGCAAGGATGATGTACCGGAATACTTACGCGTTGTCGATGCCCCGGAAAATCAGTTCAGTCAAGCCGATTTCATCGCAGTGGGACAGCGCGTGCATTCCAGCAGCAATTTTTTCTTGCGAAAATTATTGATGAAGCTTATTGGTTTAATGCGAAATTTGGATGTTGTCATGAAGGAACTGGTGACGTTATTGAAAGAGAAGCGACCAGCCTCTCAGATGGATAACTTCGATCATCTGAGCATTCGCCGCCAATGCATCATTAAGCACGTGAATCAATTGAAATCTGTGACGACCCTCGTGATTGTAGGAAATACAAAATTGCAGCTTCACAAATGGTGGGTTCTTTTTGCTGACAACTCGTGCGCTTGGTTTGATCCGGACAATGTTGACGAAACGGATGACCGATCGTACGATAAATTCACATGTCTTCAAGACGCGGTGTACATATGGCATAAACAGGCACTTTTATATTCAGCTAAGGATGACTTCGTTGACCCTGACCGTCTGAATGAGTCTTCATTTGATCATTTGGTTGAAGACGATATTACCTACACTAATGCTATTATTAATGATGTTCTTGAAGAACGTGATTGTCCATCTGAGCAACAAGGAGATTTAGCAGCTCTTTCTCGTATCACTCCTGCATGCATGCGGAACGAATTACAAAACCATCCTTTCACCCGCGAAGAGACCGAAGTTTACATAATGAATCCTACTAAGGTTGAGAATGCGCGTTGTAAATTGGAGGAGTCATTAGCGATAACTCGAGATGTAATGAAGGAATTAGGACGCGCTGGACCGTGGCGTACGCATTTAAGGCATCTGAATACATTGAAGTGCGAACAAGAAAAGCAAGTCGCAATACAAAAGGAGCTTGTAAAGCATCATTGGGCTCAGTATTACACAAAATATCAAAATTTTGCGCCACCGCATTCTCTGGAAGGAAGCTCAAATTTTAAAAGCAGAAATGAGGCTTCAGCTGAAGGTGAAGCGCAAGGTGAAATACAAGGTGAAGACACTTATAAACGCAACGACAATACGATATCGGTAACTAATGATGGTGAAGCACCCGGATATAACGTTGCGAGCTCTCCTGAAGGCATTGAGATGAATAAACTTCGCCGGGAGATCACCCTGGCAAAAAACCAACTATTGCATAAAATCAGAGGAGGCGGAATATATAAAGCTGGCGCAACGTCTACATTATATACTGATCAAAAAAAACTAATGGAAGAATGTGAAGGACTATCTGCCTCTTGCATGCAAGCACTGGGAAAGTTCTTGGGAATAGAGGAACCCGAACGGACTGACGGTATCCCGAAACAAAAACCAACACCCAGGTTTTCACGTGCTGATACACGATCAACTCGGAATGGACGGCGCATTGTCACGTCATCAAGTGACAAGAAAGTTTCTGCAATGACTAAGTCGACTGACCGACGACACTTGCTTAGATCGAAGAAAGCAGTTGCTAAAAGCGGCTCTAGACGACGTTTTGAGTCTATACGCGTTGCGAAGGCCTTGGCAGCGAAAAATCTCGATTTCTTGCTTTCAACAATGCGACCGTCTAAGTCAAAGACGTCACTGTCAAAAACAACGTTCGTGCGTAGTAATTGTTCGACTCGGGATCAGCGTTTCCATGATAATTTTCCGCTACGTATGGGTTGTACAGGTTGCCGGGATATGCGTCGCCGTTGTACTGGCTGTTCGGGCTGCTGCCTCCATTGTGTCTGTGATAGATGCGGTTGCCGCATGTGCTGTTCATCGGAGCTTGCTGCGATACAGAAAACCTTGATGTACATGATAGATCACGTCGAGTCAAAAGAAGCTTGCAAATGGTTGAGTGATGACGAACAATATTGTGGCATGCTCTTTTCTTGCCCAAAGTGCCATTGTTGTGAGGGACATTGCACGTGCCTACTGACTCATTCAACTTCGTATCCTGCCCCCCATGCATCCGCATCTGCACCATCAGACTCGTTATCTAGTCTCCTAGCTTCACGCAACGCCATTAAAAGAAAAAGACCTAATGCAGCCATTTCTCAAAAACACCGGCGTTTTAAAATTAATCCTGACGCAGGTCAACGTCGAGATCCAAATTTGTCCACAAACTTCGAAGACAAAGAAGCGATTTCAATATCAGCAGTACCACGTGGAAGCAACAAACTGCCTCGGACGTCTCATGCACGCCAAGGACGTGCCCCACTGCCTACGTTTGATCACGATATCGAAAATGCCTTTAATCTTGGTTCGATGGATCAACGTGAACAGTCTCGTACGTGGCGACCGGCACCGTCCGACAAGAATGAGCAAGAGGATCTATTCCGTGCCGCTCGTGTACGTATGAAGCTCGCGCGCTCGACTTTTGCAAATTTCACGGGTCAGCCGTTAGGCTCGGGTTGTTTAGACGGCGAGCACTTGTGGCAGCCAGAGCGGATCCAGATGATGTGGGAGCGACGAGACTTTTATGGTGTACTGGGACTGCCCCGCGACGCCACTACTCAGCAAATCAAGCGTCAGTACCGCAAGCTTGCTCTGAAGCTACACCCTGACAAATCCTCCGATGCGACCGCGTCGTTAGAGTCGACAGTTGCTAATGCCGGCCAAGATGTTGAAGCAAGAACGTTTGGAAATAGGGTTGATGCCTTCGTTGCTGCAACTCACTCGTACAAAATTCTTTTAGGAGACGTTGAAGCTATTAACGGGCTGAATTAAAGAACTAAAGTATTCGCGGTCGTTTCGCGTAAAACTATTGGAATTTAGTGAGGAGCTCAGACGATGGAAGTAAATCGCATCTTTACGGCCGAGCAGATCGCAGTGCCACCAGATCTTCCGCACGTGTTGAAAGACTGGACAAAGGCTGTGATTCGAGCGAATCCCTCAGATCTTCTGACTTTTTCGCAGCTGTGGTTCCAAGAAAAGATGACTCAGTTATCAGAGCGGGAGGCAATCGAAAGTCAGCTTCAGCGCATGCGACAGCTATTTAAGACGTACGATGTGGAGGGGCAAGGTCGCATGGAGGTCAAAAATCTCGGCAAGTTTCTGAGTAAAGATCTTGGCATAGATGGGTACGAGGATGGCAGTCCTGCTGAGCTCCTGGACGATCTTGTGATGGAGTTGGATCCAGACAACACAGGCCTTGTCGAGCTGCAGGACATCATTCAGTGGTACAAGCAACGCTAGCAAAAGTGTAGGCTTAGATTAATCAGGCAAGTACAGACCACATATCTCTCCGTTTTCTAACTCTTATTTCTGATATTTTGTCGCATCTTGTCTAAGCTGTTTACGATTGCTGACGCTTTTAAATCTTTAACTCAAACTAGCGGTGGTGTCTGCGACAGACGTAGCAGCAGCAGATTTAGAATCATTCTGCCAAATGCGAACAGTACCGTCTTCAGAGCCGGTCGCGAACGAGTCACCAGATGGAGAGTATCGCAAACATCGTACGGGTCCGTGGTGCCCCTTATGCGTCTCCAGTAACTCTCCTGTCATAAAGTCAAATACACGCACCCATGTATCCGAGCCACCAGCTACAAATTTGCTTTCTGTCGGATGCAGCGATGCGCCGCCCTCCTCAGCAAACGAAATGGGCATGGGAAATGCATGTAGAAGTTTAAAATCTTGGCTCGTATCAAAGAAATATACCTAAAAGCAGTCCACTTTGAAAATCATGACTCAAATATAAATGAAACAATATTTTCTACCTGTTTACCAGCAGCGACCGTAAGCACCTGCCCATTTCTAGAAGCTTCCATATCCATGACGTCACTATCAACCTTAAACTGCTGCATTTGTGTATAAGAATCCAAGTCCCAGATAGTAATAGTGCCATCCACTTCGCCCGTGGCTGCTAAATGGTCGCTTAGTACAGCTATCTTTCGTATCTGCTGGGAAGTGGCCATCTCCACGAGTGGTAACGAAGGTTCTACCACGATACCCGTGCGGCCTTCAGCCTTGTAATTCTGTAACTTCTCCTTTATACTCAGCACGTCATATACTCGTAAAAGCTTTTCATGACCGGCAGTAAGAAGTCTTGCACCGTCCAATGTGAACGCCACACTCTTCACAACGTGCTTGTGCTCAAGCGTCGTGACCACGTCGCCTGTGAGTGCATCCCATATTTTGACACAGAAATCAGCACTACCAGTAGCCGCAAATTCAGCCTCGTTGTCTAGCTTGGCGCTCCAGACCGCGCCTTTATGTCCCTCAAATGTTCCAATCCAATCACCAGAGTCGCCGTGCCGCAACATTGGGAGCTTATCATGACATGCAGATATCAACAAATTGCTACCGCTATAGTGCAGTTCTGCTAAGGGACGAGAGTGACCTGGGCACACGATCGGGATCTGGCGTAGCGCTGCAGGCGAGGAAGGAGACGCCGATGGGGAACTCATGGGAAGGGGACGCAGACTTGCGTATGTGAAGATCACTCGGTTTTTGCTGCATGTTGCGCGAAGGTGCTCTTTTTTATATTAAACCTCACACTCGACAAAGTGAATGTATTTTTGCAGTGAAACAATTCAACAATTTGGATGTTTTAACTAAATAAATACTTTTTCTTTATTATAAGTACGTCACGAATTTGAAGTCTTTCAATAACAAGATGGAAAAAGATTTACGCGACGCATACGCAGCACTTAAGTTGCTACGTGCAGATTTGGTCAAGACTCGCCGTGACAAGCGTGCATTAGAGGTAAAACTTTCAAACGCACATATAAACGAATCTTTGCCCAATGAGAAACAAATCTATGTCAGCAAAAGTTGCGAGACGCAGCAGATGCTATTCGAGGACACAAGAGCACAGTTATGGCGTCAGGTCGCGAAATATGAGAATCAGGTGACAAAATTAGAATGTCAACTACAAGATAAATTTTGTCCGAAGTGTAGAAGCGCATCTGAAGATGGGGATAATCAGCAAGAATCAGAGGAAGTAGAGAAGCTTGCGCTGCTTGACAAGTTGCATAGCCTAACTGCTACCGTTGAGCAGCAAATGGAGACTATGCTTGTCCAAAAAGCAGCATTTGCACTTGAAAAAGGTGAACTTGAGTCAGCTTTGGAAGCCACGCAGCTTCAATTGCAAGAAGAAAAAAATAAGGTGGGAGACGCGCAATTAGAGCAACAGGCAGCTAAGGAGAAATACGACTTTTTGAAAACTCAAGTAGATTTTTTTAAGCAGGAAAAAGAAGAAATGATACAAGAAATCGAAACATTGCGTACCAAATTGGCAGCATATGCTCAGACAAACAGTATACTAAAGCAGCAAGTGGACGAGAAGGAGGAAGAGCAAAAGTTGTGGGAGAGTAAGCGAGAAGAACAAGAGCTAAGGCTACACTTGGAGCACACACAAAAGATGGATTCGTTGACGAGGGAATTGAGCTTTAATCTTCAAAAGAACGAAAAAGAATGTGGAGAAAAGCAGCAGCACGAGATGATGGAGTTGCAACAGAGGTGTGGATTGCTAGAGTTGGCCTTGTATAGTGAAAAAGAAGAGAAAGTTCAGATTGAAGTAGAGAATCAGAAACGAAACACATTGTTAAGTGAGTTGGATTCCAAGTGCGAAGAGCTGAAGGCGCACGTTGCAGCTTTGGAGACCAAACAAAGTGAAACAGAATTTACTCAGGCTCAAACAAAAGTGACTTTCGATACGAAAGTAAGACAGTTGGAAAGTGAACTACTACAGTCACAAGAAAAACTAGCTGAGTCGGAGAACAAGGTGGCACAACTTGCAGCGGCAAAAGCCAAGTATGTAACTGTTACAAAAGATTATGAAAATCGACTTGCTGAGGCTTCACAAGAGCTGCTGAATCATGAGCAGAAACACCAGCAAAATGTAGTTGCTCTGTGCAATGTCAATGCTGAATTAGAAAAAGCGCAAGCAGCGCTTGCTGGTTCCGAGGCTACAATTTTATCAAATGCAGAAGACTTTAAGCAAAGACTAGCGCATCTTGAACAATATGGCGCTCAAAAAGAGAAAACGATCCAGATTCTGACAATTAGAAATGAGAATTTACAGCACGAAATCAATGATGCTCGGCAAACTACCAAGTTGACAACCGAAAAGCTCCTTCAGTGTCAGTCAATAGCAGAACAGCGTTTTCAACAACATATCGTGTCCTTACAACAGTGCGAGTCTCTTGAGTCTCAGCTTTTATCAGCTGAAGATCACCAGGGCGCAGCCTATGCAAGCATACAAGGCAGTGATTCGTTTGTGCTGAAGGTTTTCCATGGTCTTAGTGACAATGATATCGCTGCGCTACCTCCAACCAAGTTTTGGGGTCTTTTGCGCTCTGGAATCAACGAGATTGAAAATTTCTTTCCTCAATTACAAACACTTTTTGCTACTATAGACGAAGTATTTCGTTTGTGCAAAACGCACGCTGATTCTCTTTCTGTGCTATGTTGTCGCTTGGAAGAAAAATCAGAAAATGAAGATAATTCGATTCTCGTTGCGTTGTTAAGGTTGCTGCGGTTTATTGTAATGCTAAAGGTCCAAAGCCAACAGGACAGCGCAATCGCTACTGTTGATATTGTTCAAAAGCTTCGCAAGCGTGTGCTTAATGCGCTTGCGCAATGGTTTGAAATTGATGCTAGTGACAATCATCACAGCGAAAATACACCAATGCCGACACCTACATTTACTATTACCTCTCGTGAGACTGCATTAATCTTGCAGAATTGGACCAGCGACCGATCTAAGCAGCTCGGAGTCAGGCGGTGGCTCGCACGAATGGAGGCGTATCCGGGGGTTCCACCTTTACGAGGAGCTAAGTCAAATCATGTGTTGGAACTTCCGTCTGAAGGCTGTACGCTTGAGTTAGAGGAGATGACATCGGAAGTGAAGGACGCGTTTTTGCTACTCTTGATTCCGATTTTAAAGCAAAACCAAGCGCTACACGTGCGAACATTTATCCGTTACATCGATGACCTTGAGACCGAATCAAAGAGACGTACATCCAGCGCAATAGATACAGATGACGACTTGAAAAAGAATTGGTCGATGCGAATCCATGTCGAGAGTGTTATTACTCACCGAGTATCTCGCCCAACTTCGCTAAAATTGAGTCCTCATGGTCTATCAAGTTCACTTAATTCTCCAGCCTCGTCAGTCTCTTCGTCTACGTCCAGTTCTGCTAGTTCAAGACTTCAAATTATTCAAGAGCGTTTACAATATCTGCACGATAATACATAAGAGCTATATATCATCATGTTAAACACAAAGCAGTAAATTAAAGCCAAGTCGTGTTCATCTTTCTCTTTAAATGTTTGTCAAACCATCAATGAATGCTTAAACGACATTTGTCGATCTTTACTCCGCTTTCTTCTTCGCCTCAGCAAACATAAAGTCATAATCTTGAATTTGAGTCCTCAAAGCATCACGTTCTTCTGTAAGCTTATCAATCTGCTTACGTTGGCGTTTGATCTCGTCTTCATGGGTCTTCGCCGCCTCAAGCTGTTTGTCAGACTCATTCTTCTCATCCATAAGCTTCATAAACGCTGAACTCTGACTTTCTGCTTGCTTTGTCACGAAAACGACTTGATTTTCCGCTTTCTGAAGCTTTTCAATCGCCATTTTTACCTTATCTTCGAGGTCTGCATTCTCCTGTACTAATCTGGTGAGTGCATCGACCTTTTTCTTTTTGTCGTCGCCTTCCTCATTTCCCAAAAGATCGTGCAATTTATCCATTTGCTTTTTAAATGATTCATTTTCGGCTAAAAGCGACTTGTAACCTGCAGCAGCACCTTCCGCTTGCTTCTTCATTGCAATCAGATTTTTCTCCATGTGAAGATTCGTGACCAAAGTTGTGTACACAAGACGCAGCAGTAGAAATAAAAAGAGACAGAATCCTGTAATATACATATCCCGCTGAGCTGTAAGTAGACGAATGCGCATGCCATCGCTCAGCACCTCATCCGACGCGTGGTGCTTGTAAACTGTCGAGACGTCCGCTGTGATTATCAAGTATAAACAATCATTAGTAAACACACCAGAGCTGAAACCAGAGACACACAAGAACGCTACACGTACAGACAAATAGGATAGAGACAATGGCGAGCACTACAGTAGCCACTAAGTTAGTAAGCGAGTCTCTACCAGCGAGATGTCTCATAAGAAAGGAGACAACAGCGTGGGAGACACTTTGGCCAAATGGAAGGCTCAATATGAGACAGATGATGGCTTCGGTCACCATCATCCAGAACAGAAAACGATTGAGTAACATGTTAGCGCCTTAGATATCAGAGGAAGTTCGTGATCTAAAACTTTCTTTTGGTGGATAATGCGATAATGATACAAAAAAAAAGAAAATCATTAGAATATAAATTTATGGAAATTTTAATGCTTATTTCATTCCCTTAATTTTTATGATCCAAAAACTTACGCGACTTGAAGAATTAATGCTGACTTAATAGCAGCACTAAGTTGTTGAGCAAATACAGAATCATGCACAAGAACAAGCAATTGTCCTTTACCATTGTGAAGCTGCACTTCCAATCCAATCAGAACAACTTCAGTACTATAACTTCCACTTCGAAGATGACCTGCAAACTTGCACTTGCCTACCACGCCATTCATGTTATAAATTTCGTAAATCTGCGCAAGGTTACACTCTTTCTGAATCGCCTGCACAACCTCATTGATCTGCACGGGAGCTTGAAGCGTCATTTCACTAGTGTGAAGAAACGACGAATCAGTCATCGAGATACGCCGATTAAATTCATCGAGGCTTAAGTGCAAAGGAAGCAAAAGCTCTCCAGGTAATGGACAGAGATCCACGTCGTACTTGTCGGTACTTGTAATGATTTCAAGCGAAATGGTGTCCAAACGACCAAAAAAATCCACATGAAGTTGGACCATAGTAGTTGCCCCACCAGGGAACAAAATTGGCAGCTCTGGAAACGAAACAACTTGTTGGGGAGTCTTTTTGCTAACAACGTAGATATTTGCAATCGGCACTTCGGAAAAATTAGCTAGCCACAACTGAATGACATTCATACCAGGTGAAAGTGTTGATGGCTGACGAAGGAACGCGTAGTGAATATTTAATCCATTGCCAGCTACCGACGACAAGAGTTCTTGACGTGGTGGTGGTGTTGTTGAGGACGAAACGCTGAGACTCATTAAATCGTTCAATAAATTGGCAGTTGATCCCGATGAAACTACGGCGTTAGCTGGTGCAATCTCGCTAGAGCCCAAAAGATCGAGCGGGTCAGCCTTACTCGATTGCGAGCGTTTGTGCGACGACATTGTCTTCGTTCCTTTTGCAGAACGTGACGAGCTTTCGTCTCTTTCTCGACTTTCCTCGGATTCGCTTTCTTCAGACGACGAATCATTACTACTTGAGATTGAACCAGACGAAGCCGAGGCAGAGTCTGATTCACTTTCATCGCTGCTACTTTGAGAGTTGTCGTTTGAGGCGCTTCCAGCGTCCGACTCCGACTCCGATTCAGACTCCGACTCGGACGCCTCGGATCCAGAAGAGCTTGCATCACTGTAAAAGCCCTTAGCATCTTTTTGATTTTTTTTCGACGACGTCTTACTACCAGAACGTGAGTGGCCGCTTCGATTCGTATCCACGGCAGAAGTATATTCATCACGCAGAGAACGATCTGGCTTTGTCATTCTCCACTCAGGCAACGCAAGATATCCAGGGACTCTGTGGTGTACCACATTTGAAAGCGAACCAAGCGTAAAGCGCGTCCTTATTTCGTCATCATTCCCAATCAATGGCGTAGGCTTTTTACTAGCGAACAATTTGTGCGGGCTTACAATATTGGCATCCCCAGAGAGCGCAGCACGTATCAAACGAGCACGGTCACGAACGTCGTAGTCGATATCAAATTTGCAGAGCTCAATCACGTATTGAAGTAGTAGCTGAATTGTGCGCGATTGGGGTTCCCGAAGTCCGAGCTTTACAGCCAAATTCAGGAGCTGAAGACGCACGGCTGTCGAGTTTTCGGAAAAATCTTTGACAAGGAGGCGGAGAGTCTCAACAGCGCACGTCGTTCCATTACCTTCGTCGTTAAACTCGCCAAGCATCCAGACAATCGATGCTCGAGCTGACGAAGTCGTGATATGACCAGTGACCATCATGGCGGCTAACGAGCGCACAACAACAATTCGATCTTTCTTGATAGTCTGTTGCTGCAGTAAATGACGAATGACAACAACACTTTCAGCCACGACTTGGTCGTTAGACGACCGCACTAAACGCATGAGGCCATTCAAGCAGCGTTCAGCAACGGACGGCATGGCATTGGCCACACGACCAAGTGCACGGACCGTCATTGTCACGAAAGACTTGTCTACATGCCGCACATAGGCTTGAAATTCGCGTAAAATGATGCTCACATTATCGTGCGTAACTAACGAAGTCAAGATCTCAAGTTTAAGCTTTCGCGCGTACGCCGGGTCTGTCGCACGGACAAAAAATTCTTGCAAAAACGGTCGAAGCATGTCTGGACGCGTCATAGCCATGGAGGAGATAACTGTCAGCACAACGTACTGAATCTCCCGCTGGTTTCGCATGATCCGAACCAGCGACTTACCAATCAGCGTGGAAGTCGCTAAGCTATGCGTGCCACAATAATAGTGTAGTGTTGCGACAGCGAGTACCACACCACTGTTTCTTGACTTGAGCAATGGGATTGACGATCGCAACAATAATCGATGGTCTTCATCTAGTTCCTCTCCAATTCCACTTACCAGCGCATCGCTTCTAAACACTGACCCAATAGACGGTTGTTCATTTCCTTTACCCAGCATAAATGGCGACTGCTTTTTCATTAAATTTGACTCTTCGTTATCAGATGCACTGCCTTCATCGGAATAAAATCCCTTTTTATTCTTTTTCTTGTGCGCCAATTCCTTCTTTTCGATTACAGGAGCTTGGAATTCCTGTCGACAGTACCGCAGCAACACGTGAAGTGTGACAGTCTGTCCCCACTCATCTACATCCGCCAATAGATGACATAATTTCCGAAATGGACGGTGCAATAGGTCCAATCGATCTGGACAGACCTCATTAAGAGCTTGTACAGCACTACTTAGTACCATTGTGCTCGGATCATTAAGTAAATTACCAATAATTTCAGCTAAGACGTCTTTTTGTTCTGGGTCCAATGCAAACACTTTACTGATAGCATTCGTAGCACATTTTCTCACATATGCAGACTCATCAGCAGCACATTTGCGAATAGCAATAAGCTGAATTTGCACAATATCACGAACTCGAATACTGGTCATAACTCGTAATGCTAGAGCTCGAATAAGTTGATTCGGGTCTGCTAGATCTTTCTGAAAGCTGTTGATACTAAGTAACGCAAGCTCACGACACTGCGCATTGGCATCTGCATAGTGTACTAGATACATATAAACGAGTTTTTTAACCTCGACACTTGCCACAATCACATTCTTAACCACATCAGCAAAAAATGGAGATACGTCTTCACCCTTGGAGATACTGGCAAGAAGAGCTTTCATAGCTTCAAGTTTTTCGCTATGTCCCGCCACACCAAGTTTATTGTCGAGAAGTTTTCGAATACGATCAAGATTCATACTCTCCTCGAAAAAGTGCGCGTCGCCCGCGATGCTTTTCATCCCGATCGCCATCGCCATGATTTACGTTTCGGAAGTACCAACGTGAGGGCATCAGGAGGAAGCGTGCACCACACTATTCATGTGATTTACATAGATTTCAAATTGCCAAAATCTTGACAAATAAACTCTGTAAGTATTTTTTTCAAATTCCCATCAATTTCGTAAATATCGATACTTCATTATTTCATACTCACAATTAAACAAAAAAGTAGTGTGATGTTTTTGCAATGGTACAAATCGCATTTTGCGCAAGTGTAAAGTTTACGAACGGCAAATGTACGGTACATACCCCATAACACCCATCACCATCAAGAGCTGGAGTACACTGGGCTCGAAATTGTTTGTCGTTGTGAGAAATTCGCGCAGTAGAAAATTAGCGAGCACTGACTGCGCTTGTAATTCACTCCACCCATTGCACGCTCCCCTGCTTTCCCATGAGCGCGTCTTTGCGCCAAGTGTTCGTTACCGTATTCACCATCACATGGCTCAGAGGGCCTTCGAGCTAGACACGGTCCTTGCGACCGACTTTTGTGAAGCCATACTCAATGAGCAGGCCGATGAAAATAGTCAAAGCGAATTATTGCTATGACCCGACCCTTCCACCTACACCTGAAGACAAATTATAACGGGGTTACACGTACCCCTGTATGAAAGAGTAGGTAACACAAGATGGTGTGACCGTTCAAAGGTGCAGAGTACACAAGTCAATGTAATCACACAATGGTGTAGCTACACCGTAACAAGAAGCCGTTCCGTGGCAGGACTGCCAGAAGTTATGCATATTAATCAGTTTTTACTCTTTAATCAGAAAAAGATATGGTTATAGATTAAGGTAGCTCTGCCGCAAATAGAACAATTAAATACAGTTTCAATTTTGAACAGAAGGGTGCCTTTGACTTGGTTGAGGTATGTTAGTACTCTTGGAGGTAGCGGATTGCGGTCGGCTACACTCGTACTGGTTCTGGTATAGAACGTAAGGTCGTTGACTTTAGCTTGGCTTTCTTCAAGCAAAGATCTACGGCAGCCGTGCTGCACAAATGTTCGAATGGTCCTATCAAGAAGAAAGCGCTTTATACGCCTTGAATCCCCTTTGCATAAGTTACAATATTCGTGCTCTTTCCTTACAGCGACGGCCCCGTCGCAAAGCCCGCGATGATGTCCAGCTCGTAAATAATGAGCTGGACTTAGCTTATTGGGTCGTTCTTTACCGTTTGCAAGCGCAGGAGTTGCGACGACTTCTGCCAATCTTGTCACCCAGAGATTATGGTTTTGTATCGTCGTATTGTGCTTGTAGACTGGAGCGTGGCGCTCCCGTGTGTTCGTGCCTTCCACACACACCAAGAATGGTATAAGCGCTTTGTGAGCCCGAATCTCCATTCTCTTCAGAAGATTTGGTCATACTAAGAGCTGCAGCGACTTAGTAAATTTATTTCCGACAACGTTTGTGCTAGATGCTGGCAACAAGGCCGAAAGTATCGCACTCAATTTGCGCCGTATGCGACAAAGGCGAGTAGTCTGACCCGCTACTGCAGCTCCACTGCATGGTGTGTCATGCGACAATTCGTCTTGCTGCTATCTTCTCGAGACCATAGCAGTTCCTCTGCTTGTCTAACGCGACTTCAGTCAAACATACGACCAAAGCTACCGCTTAATGCTTGTGCGACTCGTTCGAGGTGGGAGCTTTGTGCTGTCTCGTCTCCATGATATAGATATTACGCTGCAGAACAATCCTTGAAGTTGAAAAGCAAGCTTGAATCTCGTCCGCAAAATTGAAATGCTCTACGCCAGCCGACCTTGTTGCGTTCTTAGCAGAAAAAAGGTCAAGGGCCCGCCACATTATAAACGCAACGGCGTCAAGACAAAATTGTCGAATTGAGACTTAAAGACTTCATGAAATCCAGAAGTGTGGGTAATCTTTCCACTTCACTAGCTACCGCGCTCCCTGAATGATCGCTTCGCGGCACTATCGTATGGAATTGTTAAAAGATCATGCTATGATGCTAAGTTAAAAAGGTATCTTGAAACAATATGTTCTGTTAATATAATTGGCTATACCGAAGCACTATTGTGATGTCTCGTTGTCTCTCAGCTGGTGACGTTCTTATTATGACATATGACAACTAATTGTTGGGGTGACGGGAAAGCGCATCAGCCACCATGGTAAGCTGACACGGCTCATACCTATTCTCAATGATATACTCGGCAAAGGAGAATAATGAAAGAGGGTGCTGCTCACAACGGTCCCGCAAACACAACACACTTATGCGATGATACTTTAATAGCCCTCGGATCAGCTCCTAAATTAAGCAAACGAACCAAATATGTGCGTATTCTATCTTTAGTTAAAGCTTTCGTTATGCAAGGGGCACGGCAACCCTGTTGCACCGGTAGAAATCAAGCCAACGAACGAATTGTGAGAAAAGTGCAACTCCGGCATGAGTTGATTACATTCTGATCCCAGCGCAATAACATTTGGTAAGTTTATGTCTATCATCGATCCAGACGCTAGCAAGGTACTGTCGAATAAAAGTCTGAAGCGGGATTTCTTTGAAAAAAGGTGTTTATCAAATATAAACATAAGGTTAGAATGGCGAGACATCTCCAGAAAAGCTAAAAATAGGCGCATAAATGGCACTCACCGTGAAGCCACTGATTCTTAGCGCCCGGCTTTGGGTGGAGAGGGCATCGACAATTTCCCGATCTATATGAAGAAACTTGAAATGGCCTTCAAGTCATCAATGCTCCAGATGAAGCAACAGCGATTTGTAATGTTGTGGCGTTAAAGCAAGAATTTTGCACGCGAGAATGGGTACAAATGTACATTTTCAAAACGTAAAATCAAGAAGCGACATTTGCCGCTGTGTTCGCATCGCCTAATCTGGCACTCTGTGCGGTTCTAAGTTTTGTCTACCTTCCAAAGAAGGCAGTCTATATCCAGGAATAAGGTATCGCCGCGATGACGGCAAGTCCTTTTTTGATGTGGTAAAACCCTCTATTTCCACGAATATATTCCCAACAGGTGCAGCTTGTATCACACCTTTTAGGCGTCTTCTATTGATCTGTACCTCGATGAACTAACATAAAGCAATTTTCAGCAGGATGCTGGGACACAACGTTTCGTCGCAAGGATTTCGTTGGGCTACCCAAAGCGTTACGTTACATCGTCGTGTCTCAAGAATAGGACGTGTAGGGCACAGATGATTAGCAATTTCGTAAATGAAACATCAAACTATTCGACAGCCAAAGAGTCTCGCTTTATTTTCAGCACGGCTAAGGTCATTCGCATTTGGCGAGCTCATAAAGCTTTCGTTCTCGCACCATGATTTGTTATTGCGGCACAGAATTTATTCCCAGTAATCAATGTAGCCTTTAAAGCTAACTGTTGGATAGACGCCGACTTGAAAAGTGGGGCTCGCAGATCGGGCTTCGTATTTGTTAACGTAAGCCTCCCAGGGTTTGTGAAGCCATGAAATGGCCTGATATATCAGGCGCGTCGTGCAGATTCGTACGCCACGCGACTGGCGAACAATTACTAGACAAGGCACCCAAGGGGATTATTAGTAAAAGCTTTAGGAGCCCTCGGGGCGTTTCTCATGTAGCTCTAGGACCCATTTGCTCGTTTTAATTCAGCTGCAAATTTACCTTAAAGGCCTAAATCATTCTTCTTCCTCCAAGTCGGAACCGCCCTTCTCCCTAAGAACGACTAATATTTTAAAATTGACAAATGATAGATATATCAGCTTATCTATCACTAAGTATAAAATTTCTCTTTATTACACGTGAAGATGAGAGCCCATGTTCCTTACGGATCCCTCCTCTATAGAACCTCTATATGTCGCAATTTTTTTCTAGTGTAACGTGAAGTTGCATAATAAAACATCAATTTATTTGCACAAGTGTAAGTCGCACGTACAAAAAACACAATACTAGCTCATAACAGATCTCGTACCTTGTGCTAATCATGGTTGTCTGCATGGTAAGTACCGGGTACACAGGGCTCCAAAATACACAAGTTCAAGTCCCAACAAGAGCCTTTCAGGTCGTCCACACAAGCTGCCTGTTCGCTTTCCGGCAATAGCATTCTGACCTCACAAAAGTGATTCTTATGGCTCTAGTCTTTTCTCATTGAACAGTCCGAGCACAGTATCAATAGCTCTGCAGACGATTGGCGTGACCACGTAACTTTCGATCTTTTAATAAAGATCACACCTAAATTAAAATTCTGAGCTACATCAGTAATGTTTAACTAATTGGTATTGAAAATATACGCTATACTATCCATTAAAATAAAATTCTCTTATCTCCGACGTGCGGCTAGCAGCATACGTACATCGCGGAACCCTTTTTTCTAAGTTCCATCATCTTCATACTATCAATTATCGTTACATCCAAGTGCAATATGAATTTTGTAACAATCTGTGTAGAACTGTATTTAATACAATCGAATCATGTGGAAAGGAGAAATTACACAAGATTACAGTAATCACCCCGATGTACATATGGAAATTTAATAAGAATCCATGATATATATAACTCAACTATATACGCTCTCTGTTTAGAGAAATGTGTTGTATACTTCTACTGTACAAGGTTTACAGCTACTCAGTAGCACACCTTCCTAAATGCATTTAAGGTCCAGCATTTCAAATGAGCTACGCCATTAGCTGCACTCATGTCAGCCCATTACATCTGTGTTACAACGTAAGGAATTTATCGCAAGTGAAGCAAAAAGTATATGCACATTCTTTTGATGATTGTGAATGGATGGATTGGGTGCTAATAGACAGTTAAGCGCCGAGCTGACTCTCGAATCAGCAACTGAAATTGAATGGTAAGTTTACCAAGAAAGTAGCTACATAATTTCACGCTCTGGTACGACATTACCCAACTGCATTACCCGATGCGAATGCCGACATGTACACTTCCAAGACTGTTATTTGTATTCTACCAAATTGGTCTACAACCCTTCAATTTAATTCACTGGCCAACATCATTTGTTATTCGGCTGTCCGAGGCGTCATGTATGTAGAAGAAAAACTTTACAACATACCTAGGATCGAGCTTTATTTTGGTGGCAAAGCTCATATTGGTAAATTTTGCACGAATCGGAATCACTTACTTGTCATCGCATAGGTATTAATATTTCAGAAACTATTCTTAGCGATCTTATATTTTGCACTTCACCGGGCTAATCCTATTCAAGCTTCGTATTGCCAGCAGCAATAGTTTTCGATCCACAGATTGCTCAGTTGAATTTTGACTTGAAATAGAAAAGTCCCAACATGTTCCGCTTCGTGTCTTCGCTGAATCCAACGAGGTAAGCAATCACCTTTTTGCTGAGTTTAAACGTTGGCAATTGAGACTCGAGCATTGTCTCGCCATTACTCCTGATCACGGTCAGTAAAGTGCTCACAACACACTGTAACGCCATTAGAGTCAAACATACAAACACACATGTTTCTAAATAAACTTAATTAATATTATGTTTCTGAAGAAGCAGAAACTCTTTGCCTTCAAGTCGTTGGATTACTACCACGGTACAATTTTGGCAAGACTTGAAAGGTATTCTACCCACGTGCAAAGTCTGTTGTTGCCTTGCGTTCCTTTACATTCTTTGCTGAGGCCAATTACTAGAACAGAACGATGGATCATTGCTTGCAGTCTTCGACAAAGCACAAGCCAAAGTTTAAAGACTCACGTTGAGCATGACCTGTCTATATTTTTGACATAGCCATTCTCTTGATCGCGTCGATCCGAAAATCCATTTTGGTCTTAAAGTAGCTATTTCTAGTATAATGTCGACTTACAATGCTACGAAAATTCTTTGTCGTTGTTATTTGTCTTAGATTCAACCTCTGTACCAACAGCTTAGCCTTGAGTCGTTAACTGAGCTAAGATTTGAGCCTGCGGTTGTCACGCACCCTTTGCATAAACATAAGAGTTGCTAAATCTTGTATGAGGTGCTCAATGAATTGGACCTCCCTGAGCTTTTTGACGAGCATTACTATTCACTGGTGTTTTGATGGTAAGTAGCATATCGACATTATATCTGGCTGTTTCTAGTTACGCATTCACAGCTTGAGGTGGTTTACTTTGACGGTTTGAGCATCCCACTACTAGGCGTCCTGTGTGAGCGATTGCCTTTACAAAGTGATGTTTGTCTTTGGTCACCTAAAGTATTTTTTGCTCAAATGTATGTAATTAATAATAGCTCTAACATTAGTAATAAAAGAATTGTGACACATAGTATTCATGGTGATTTAGACGGGGTATCCAATAGCGTGCGAACCTTTTTTCTGGATAACCCAAACTCCGAGAACTTAGTAATAACAGAATGAGAACATAGAGTTTACATCTTTTGATAAATCATAGAATGACCATAAAAACATCATCTTTGTGTATGTATATCGCGTCTGGCTGTATCAATTCTACATTTACGACGAAGCACATATGGTTTAACCTTTAATACCACAATTGAGCAGACCACGTGTAGTATATGCTGATACAGCATCTGGACTTACTTTTACGATCATATGTGTGCCCTATTTTACTAATGAAAAGTTAAAAAGACAGAATTGGAATAGTTTGACAAGTAGACAAACTTTCCTGTTGAAAGGTTCAGGCAACATTAAGCTACCATGACATCAGTCCTAACTGATTTTCTTGATAAATAACTGTCTTATCCACTAGTACCTTCTATTTGCCAGCAGTAGCAGAACTGTTGATGCGATAAAGCAATAGATCTTTGCTCATACGAATACATCACGATGTCCAGCAACAAACACTACTGATTTCGACAACGCCACAATTCATTGCCTGAGCTATTTTTATTAAGAACTTTGAGATACGACATGACATGGTTGTCTTTCACCTTGTTACGTACTAATCCCCCTCACGACTACATTACTTATTCCTCGGAGGGACCGAGACGTAAAAATAGGCCAACCGTATGCTGACTACGGACAATACGGTCTAGCTTTTAGCCTGAAAGTCGTTTATTTCCTAACCACATCAAAGGATTTGCGTATTCGTATAGACGACACTCTCGACAGTTTGTTGTGTAACAGCAACAATGGAACATTTCCTACACAGTGAAGAATTCGAGACAAACCGCACTTGATAGCATGAAAATTTCATCAAACTTTATTGTCGCCACTTTGGTGGTATTAAGTGTAAGCACACCCGTTGTCGTATCTCATGTATCAGTACAGCAAATGCCATTAGAATCGTCGGAGCAAATGCCAATAGAATCGTCAGAGCAAATGCCATTGGAATCGTCAGAGCAAATGCCATTGGAATCGAGCTCAGTTACGTCTACAGAACAGATGCCATTGGAATTATCGGAAACAAGTAGTTCGTTTCTTGAAGATTCTGGTCCTGATTCAAACAAGGATTTATTCTCAGAAGACTTGACAACTTCATCTTTGCGTAGTGATCCCAACCCGGAGAGCTTAGACACTGAGGAGAATGGAAGCATAATTTCGAAATCAGACACTTCAACATCACAAAAGACTTCCGATGGAATGTTTACGGATGAGCAAAAGGCGATTTGGATTGACCGTCACAATTTTTTTCGAGTGGCGGGTTTGCCGTGGGCAGCTGGAAACATGGAACGAATGAATTGGGATGACAGCCTTGCACAGGATGCTGCCACTGCAGCTTCTAGCTGCACAGCGAAGACTAAACCTGGTCTTAACGTCTTTGAAGATACAACAACAGATCCAGCAACCGTTTTAGAAGATGCGATTATAGATTGGATTGTAAAACCGGCGATTACCGGCATTGCAAATGTCGTACCGCCAAGCAAGGAAGGTGAAAGCGTGGGTGCAGGACTTTACAATTCGTACACACAAATTATTTGGTCCTCAACGACAGGCGTTGGATGTGCCATGGCTAGTTGCAATGGTGGTGCAACCGTGGCTTGTGCATATTCTCCTCCAGGAAATGACGGCAAGTCACCATGGTTTATTCACGCTGCCCAAGCAAAGAATTGTCCTTCGGGTACTGTAGCTCAGCATGGTTTGTGCGTCGTCGAAGGAGATCCGAAAAACGATCTTATCGCACCCATTCCAGACGGATTTCGGACACATCAGATCTATCCAAACTTTATTTCTGACATTATGGGGGCAATCTTGAAGGCACAAAAGGAAAGAGACGCTCCTGGAGCTGTTAAAATGACTGCAGTTTCTCCAGGTGACTTAATGGGCTCACCAGAAGACGATAACTATAATGACGAGAATGAACCACTACAGCTTGGTTCTTGCGCTGGCTCGACAAAGGAATCGCAGACTGAAGACATTTATTCGGGAGACTTGACATCGGAAGAGGATCCTGGTACAGTAAAGGCAAGTTCGGCCTCTGGTTTATCTTTTTCAAACCAGGAAGAACTATTATCAAATGAAGCCGAGGATCAAACTGGTGATTTGACACTATTGTCTCAAGAAAAGAGTGATGTTTTGACTTTTAGTGCATCAGATACATCGGATTCTGGAATGTCCACAGCAGGTATCGCTTCTTTGATTGCACTTGGTGTTGCAGCTGTTGCAGCTTTTGCTGTATTCGTGAGTTATTTCAAACAGGAAGAACAAATGGAGGAAGATTCGCCTGATCGAATTGAAGTCATTTAAGTTTCTAGGTTTCAAATGTTTTAGCAGATGATTAGTATGATGAAGTCTACGTGATATTTTTCTTTCTTGCTTTCGGAATTAGAGACGAATGACTAGATTCCAAGCTGGATTTATTCGAATGTTTGTAGTCGCAATTAGATTCTAAGAAAAAATATATCTGAGGTCGTGAGTATCAACTGACGTTAAAGGTTTATATCATAAAACAACAGCTACAGGTTCAGTGCAGTCGCAATCGCGTTGTGACAATCGTTGACCTATTTTTTTGACGTAATAGAACGCCAGCCAGATAACCTATTTGCCCGCAAGTTCTAAATGGTCATACTGTCTCGAATTTTAACAGGTTAATATTTCAAATTAGAATATTCAATTTGTAATGCTTATAGTAGAGGCATTCTCGCAATCTGTCTCAAGAGAAATCTCCACAAACTCTGTACTGCCCCAAACCTCTTAAGTTCACACTCGAATTTGACAGTAAAGAGAAAGAAAGCGTCAAGTGTGTGTGAACATGCTTGTGTTTGTATTGATCATGCTCTTTGCTATGACAATTCATGCCGATAGCTTTAGCGTCGTAGATCAGGCCATTTGGATTGATCGCCATAATTACTTTCGTACGACTGGATTACCGTGGTCAGCAGGTAATATGCGTCGTATTGGATGGAGTACAAAATTAGCATCGTCTGCTGCTTTACGAGCTACAAAGTGCTCGATGACTTCAGGTCCAGGTGTCAATGTGTACCAGTCAACATCGACTAATTCACCAACAATTATTGACGATGCTATCAAGCAATGGATAGTAACGACATCCGAAACGACGCTCAAGATGGTGAAACAACCTGGTGCCTCTAATGTTGATGTTGGAGCAGGCATATACAATTCATACTCTCAGGTTTTATGGGCTTCAACTACTAGCGTTGGTTGTGCTAACCAGAAGTGTCCAAGCGGTGATATTGTAGTGTGTGAGTACTCACCTCCAGGTAATGACGGGTCATCACCTTGGTATAATCACGCCGACACGGCCTCGAAATGTCCATCAGGTACAAAACCTTCGCAAGGGCTTTGCATTGTCGAAGGAGACGCAGCAAACAACCCAATTGCTCCCATTCCAGCCGGTAAACTGACGTATGAAGTATACCCAGCTTATGTACCCCATATACAAGCGCTTTTACTTGAGGCTGCACGTGATATTGCTAGTGGAAAGCCTGCAAAGGCAGATGCGTCCATGATGTCACCTTCAACACCACCTACGTCAAATGGAGCCGTCAGTTATGCTCCCAAGACCGCAAATACTCCAACACCAGGCAGTATAAAGCCCAAAACGAGTCAGTCTCCAGGTACTACGCCTTCATCGCCAAGTACTACACCTTCATCGCAAAAGACTACACCTTCGTCGTCTCCAATATCAAATCCAACTACGAATACTCCTGAGCCTTCTCCTAAAAAGACCACCGTGTCAAAAAATCCGTCAGACTCTCCTATTCCAGAAACAGGTAAACAGACTTCTACTCCAGACTCCAAAGGAGCCAAAACAGCTATACCCCCAGATGCAAAGAAATTGAACAGTACCGCAACAATCAACCCGAAGTTACCTACGAATTCATCAGATGAGATCTCGACAAATCAGAGCTCAGATACGTCACCATCAGGCTCGGATGGAACGGATCCCGGTAAGGTCAAGGCAAGCACAGACACTGGATCTAAATTTTCAAACCAGGCACAAGAACCTTCAGATACGACACCAAGTACCGATGCCCCAAGCCCTCCAGCTTCATCCGATACGCTATCGAGTAGTATCAGCAACCAATCGAGTGCAGAAGAAAGTGGTGGAATTTCAGCTGCCGGTGTGGCTGGTGTTATCGTCATGGCTGTCGTTGCGATTGCTGCGTTTGGTGTAATTGTGAGCTACAGAAGAAATCAACAGCGACAGCGCGAAATTATGCGCGATGGTGGAATTCGAATCATTTAGCTACAGCAAAAGTTTAATGGTGAGTGCAAACTTTCACTTTGACACGACAAGTTTTTGTTTGCTCGGTGGAGCTTTCCAGTCCAGTCCAATTTATTCCGTTTATGTTTAGAAAAGGCGTCTTTTGTCGGACTAGCTATTTTTATTGTCTGTTAAATTCATATTTTTCTTACTTCTTACATGCCCTAGATAGATTTCATATGTAGATAAAAAGATTCTCTACGAGATTATCATATTATAACGTCTGACAAAATCATATTCGACTGACAAAAAATGATTTTTGATGTACAATCGCCATACTCGAAACTTGGTACTTACTTGTATGTCTTGAAGACAGTAAATTGTTAGGTCTCGCCTTCTACATGACACAAGGAACTAGATCGAATATTCTCATAGGGCGGAGTATGGGGATGGAAACGTTACGTCATGAAGTTGCGCCGAAATAAACAGGTACATACACTAATGTGACGATGAATCTAGATCTTTGTAGAACAGCTAAATCAATTTGGAAGGTGTTTGTCACTGCTACATTAAGTATATTTGCTATAGCAAATCAAATTGTACAAATGATATATCGTAGTTCATGGTGGCACAGACTTGCTGAATCACTTAATTTTACATAATTCTAATCCTCGTAGTATTATTATCTCAGTACCTAGTATTCAGAACTTAGACTTAAAATAGAGATTGCATAATCAATTCAGAAGCCGGAAATTAATAAAGACAGACACGTTCTTCAAAAAAGGCAGATAGCCTTTTTTAGATTACGGTTAAATTTTGCATCAATTTTATTGTACGATCAGCGACATTGTATTGTGACATAAATGGTCAAAAACTACAAAGAAGATTTGTCGGATGGAAATCGTCGGTCTCACTCTTAGATTGTTCGTGACGAAATCAATCGATAGAGTTTCTTTATGAAGACATTGATATTATATGCTGCGATTGTTGTGCTAGTTCGTGCCGAAATATACACTGAACCACATCAGGCCATTTGGATCGATCGTCATAATTATTTCCGAACGACAGGATTGCCATGGTCTGCGAGTAATATGCTACAAATGAAATGGGATGCTGAATTAGCGACGAAAGCTGATGCGACTGCAGTTACATGTTCAGCTACAACTGGCAAAGGTCTGAATGTATTTCAATCGTCATCGACAGATGTGTCTACAGCTATTGACGAGGCGATTCAGCAATGGGTTGTCGACACTGCCATGACTACAATCAAGTCAATGCCTCAGCCGAGTTCAACTGGATTGGATGTGGGTGTAGGCTATTACAATTCGTATTCACAAGTTGTCTGGGCTGAAACAACTAATGTCGGCTGTGCGTCAGCAACGTGTTCAGGAGGTCAGATGGTCGTTTGTGCGTATTCTCCTGCCGGGAATAATGAGAATTCGCCTTGGTACAAACATGCGTCTCAAGCTTCAGAGTGTCCAACTGGCACAATGGCATCTCACGCACTTTGTATTAAAGAAGGCGATGATCCTAACAGTCATTTACCAGCCATACCACCAGGAAGACTTACATACGAGATCTACCCAGCTTTTGTCGCAGATATTCATGCTTTATTAATCAATTCTTCACGAGACTTTGCTAATGGTGAGTTGATATTAACATCAAAACCAATGTCTTCATCAGCTACGTCATCTATAAGTAAGAACATCCCAGCGACAACACCAGAGGTCAAGAGTGGCAATTCTATAGTGCCAAGTAAGACAACAGAGACGACTACGTCTCCATCTTTAACTAAAGATGAAGATGAAGTTCCTGGTAAAGTAAGAGCAAGTTTCGATGAGCCTTCAGCCAACAGTCCCGAAATACAAGAAGTGAGTACTGCAGAAGCTGCTACAAGTAAATCGAAAGAAAGTCACGAAGTGGCACACGAATTGACAATATCAGGTATCATTGGAATGCATGCAATAGGAGTTTTAGCAGTAGCTGGGATTTTATTACTAGTGCGATGTCAAGAAACAGTAGAGGAGTCCGAAGACTAAGGAATTAAGTTGACAATAAATTACATAATCTTTCTTGGTAATTTATAACTCATACCATGGCTTGTGGACTTACGCCTGATCTCGCTCGTATGTTGGAACAAATAGCCGTCGAGAAAGAGCGACACGTTGTAAAAGCCGAGCAGACAGTGATAGAGACTGAGGCAAATGTAGCGCGTATAAAGTCGAAAGTAGCAAAAGTAAAAGACAAACATGAACAAGACGAAGGGTATGATTGGACGCGAACATACGAAAAATGGGATGCATGGGAGGATCCAGAAGAGATGATGAAATATGAACAAGAGGCTCGAGACCGCAGTGAACGGGCAAAGAAGATTCAAACAGGTTGCAATCATGACCACTCAGCTGTAAGATCTTCTTGCATAACAAAACTGTACGAAGAATTTACATTCTCTTTTATATTTTACAATCTATAGGAGCAAAAGTTGATGGACATGACGACAAATGAAAAAGTTATAGCATGTGATGAATTTCGAGTGCTTGGGAATCTTTTTTATCAGCATGGTCAGTACCAGAGAGCAGCATTTCATTATAACAAGGCACTTGTGTATTTTGAATATATTTTTCCAGATACTAAAGAAGAAGAGGTACAAGCAGATGCTTTAAAACTCAAGTTACTGCTTAACTTTACAGCCTGTCGACTTAAGACAATGCATTTAGATGATGCTGTGCATCATGCTAATCAAGCGCTTGAGATTGATCCAAAGAATGTCAAGACATTCTACCGTCGAGCTCAAGCGTACAGACTAAAAGATGAGTTTGATCTCGCACAAAAGGATCTCGAATGTGCACTTAAGCTTACAAAGGATGGAGAATTATCACAATCTATTGAATCGTTGCTATTGCAGGAGAAAAAACTTCTCCATGCAAAAATGCTCGCGTATAAACTGCGGACGAAACAATTGTCAGCTGCAATGTTTGGTGTGAATGACAAAATCAAAGGATGTGAACAAGTTTATCGTGATGATGCTCGTTATTTCGGTGCACATGCAATGGCGCTCAATCTTTCAAATATCACGACAAGATCAAAGGTGCCAAGCAACGACTTTCCATGTCTGGACACCTCACAGCCATCAATTCGAGGTCTCACAGAGCTCCAGTCTCTAGTGAACGAGTTCAAGAAAGGACCGAATAGTAGTGAAGAATGAATCACTTGACAAGAATTTATTCTATAAGGTGTAACCTTAAAACTAGTAAATGAATATTCTAATCCTCAAACTTAAACGAATTGGACGCCATGCTGATAGCACCACACATGTATGTGGAACGCTTGAGTTTGTTCTTGCCTTTAATAAAGTCTTTGCCACGTGTCTTTAATAGCTTGTTGTTCGCCTTTACTCCGACACCATCCGAGCCAAAAGTGCCTTCGTAACTGTTGTCACGAAGTGTATCGTCCGCAATCTTCTGCGACCAGAACTCACCGTCCACACGCTGAAATGGAGTCCCAACCGCTTTCTCTTTTGAGACCACCTTTGCAATCTTCTTAGGCTGCCATTCAAGAGCAGCTTTAGTAGCCGCTTCTCGACGTGCAGCTTCCTTCTTCAAAACTTCTTCATCTTCCGATGAATCCGACTCCGAATCTGAAGATGAGCTGTCTGAAGATGAGCTGTCTGAAGATGAACTGTCATCTGAGCTAGACTTGTCATCATGCTTTGACTTTTTCGTATTTTCCTGAGCAACAGAAGTTACAGCCTTCCGCTTATTCGATTTGATCATCTTTTCATCGGAAGAATCTGATGATTCCGACGAATCTTCTGAACTTGATGAATCTTCTGAACTTGACGAATCACTCTCTTCATCTTGAGTCTTCTTTACAATACTTGCAGTTCCTTTGGCTACTTTCCTGACTTCTTCATCCGACGAATCGTCAGATTCACATGAGTCATCGGTCCTCGACTCTTCTTTATTGACAATTGCACTCTTTGTCGACGCTTTTTTCGGTCTATCTTCTGACTTGACATCCGAATCCAAGTGAACACCCTTTTTCTTTGTCGCAACCTTATGCTTTGTCTCTGTCTTCACCACTTTTTGTACAATATTCTTCGACATTTTGTCAATCTCCTTATCATTTACCACCTTTTTCGAGTCCTTTAATGGATCAACAATTTCATTGTCGTTGCTCTTTCGTTTTTTCTTCTTTTTTGAACTCTTAGCCACGTCCACTGACACATTCGATTTCTCTCCAATATTCATCTTGTGTGTCAAATAGAAATTGTACACGTCAAGTAGATCATGCTCCCTTTTAAAAGCCTTCGACTGTAATTTTGCTTCTTTAGCGAATGTGGCTGCTGATTTTTTTAAGCCTGCGTCGATCAAAAGCGTGTGAACTAGCGGAAAGACGTCACTGACCACAACCATGTCAAAGCAATTTATGTAGTACGCTAACCAATGCTTAAGCCTGTGCGATACTACTGGACGAAATTATTGGTGATCTGGTGTTATGTGGTCACACCAGTTTCAAGACTTTACAAGCAATTTTTATTTGCCGAGGATGTCAGAGTTAGCATACTTCCTACGCTTTATCAAGATAAGCAACTCACTTCACTTGGTAGCTATGTTGTCATGAGCAGATAATACTGCCTGGATTGTATTGATTTTAAATACACCAAGAGTGTTTCTGCAATGGAGTCACTGCACATTTTCCACGGAAGAAGCTTTGATTTAAAGAGTCTGCGTTAACAAACGAACAGATGCTGAAGTTGTATACTCTGTCCAATGGCAGAAGCAAGAGCATCTAAGAACGAAGTCGTTAGTTCGTGTTGTTAATTCATGAGACATATATTTGGAGCAATCACAACTTATACTGTAACGGGATCACTCAAGATGGTGTCATCACACAATGGTGTGGCTAGTCTGAAGCGACAAGTCAGTACGTGGCTGGAACAACCAGTGCCTCTACATTTAATTAGGTTATACTATATAGATAGGAAAACCTATAGATTGAGATAAACGCGGCTTTGCTGTATAGAATAACGGAGAAAAACACTTTACATTTTAAGCGGGAGAGTTAATTAGCCTCGGGTTAAGGTTGTAGTTACTCTTGGAGTAAGTCAATTGCGGTTCGCTATACTCATTCTGGTTCTAAGTATATAGAACGAAGGTCGCCGACCTCAAACAAGCTCCCTCTTAACGAAAGAGCAGCGGTAGCCCCGCTGTACTTGGAAGTACTTGCGGTCAATCTACACCTGTGTGGTTACGAATGATCCTCTGTTAAGACGGAGCAGTTCTCCTATCTGCCCCAGGGCATGCAGGACGGGATTAAAAAACTGACGTCTCTGCTTGACCCTGAGGGCGTGCAACACATTGCTTCGCGAGAACCTGAAGCGATCAACGCGCGCCTAGACGCGTATACCAGCAATAAAAATGCTCTGCTAGAGCACCTAGAGCAGAAGATGTCAGCGACGACTACGTCCGTGATGCCACCGTTGGTGGCGGATGATTACCCCGGACCCGAGCCGCTCCTGGTGAGCGTTAAGACCTTCGAGGTCAAGGGTGGAGAAAATATTCCGCTAAAAGTGAGAGAGATCGAGATGGCCATGGTGTCCGCCAAGTTCTTGACCGAGCAACAGCCCGTGGCGCTAGCTATCTCTAAGCTCGGGGGTTGAGCGCGAGAATGGGCATTGACGTGCAGCCCTTCGGTCGAAAAAAAAATCATATTTCCCTCCTGAACGGAGCTGAAGCTACAGCTTTCACGAGTGTTCTCGCCGTCATATCGCGTGCGATCGCGTTTTCTTGCCGCCCGACAGGGCAAGAAGGAATTGGTGGAACATACCAAGAGTTGCGCACTTTATTGCCGGTATGGCTTCCGATCCTCTTCCGAAGCTGTCACAGTGACTGTCTTTATGAAGGACCTCTGCACTGTCGTGGCCAGAAGGGATGTCTTCCGTGTGCACCCGTCTTCATTTGAGAAAGCATTGGTTGTCGCTTTGGATGCCGAATTCAGCTTTAAGTCGGCACGACTCGCACACTCTAACAGCTCGTCGAGCGGACCTGAGCCGAAGGAACTCTGCACGAGGCAGAGCTCCGAGTTGCTGGGCTGTGATCGAACACCCGACGCTTCTTTGTATGTGAGACACCCATCACCTTCGTATTGGTTGTCTCCTGCACAAGGCGCGTTAAGGTTCATCGAACCAACGTCCCGCTTCTTACCACTCTTCTGGTTTGTCGCGGGGAACGACAAGACACAGTAGGCTCGAGGCGGCCTACTGGGAAGATCTAAGCTCTGTTAAACCTCAAGGTGGCAGAGAGCAGCAGGGATCAGCCACAAAGAGTGCCGTTCTCTTGAACACAAAACCTATGTGCAAGCCAAGCTTGTTGGTCGTAAAAGCGACCGTGAAGGGCTTTGAGAACCCATGGAAGATCCCGATCGACTTCGGGGCGCTGAACACTTATTATCAACGCTCCACGATTGAAGGAAGTCAGCTGAATGCTAAGGTGCTGAAAGCGCGGTTGAGTGACATCGTCACTGTTCGCCTTTAGCTTTACTGTGCCGAGGATCCAAGTTTCGTGAGTCCGATGACGTGGAATACTGCTTAATCTTAGACTTGGGATCAAGGTATGTTCTTATCCTTGATATGGCATGGTTGGAACACGATGAGCCATGGATCGATTGGAAGTCGAAGACCTTGGGCGCTACGCCCACGACTCCTGGTGGAGCTTTGGTGAGTCATGAACCCACCTCTACTAGGAGGCAAAAACGCTATTTACGCGGGCACTGGACCGGGGCGGTCAACGTGTGGAACTCGGAGTATTCGTTTTGTCGAACACCGAAGGTATTTCGGACACTAGTCCCGAGCATGGCTCGCGGGCTACGTGAGTGGCACGTAAATACACTGAGCACGGCTCACGTTTCGAAGCAGTCGCTGCATGCCAAGAGTTCCGAGGCATCAAGTCGGTCGAAGTCCGAGACATCTTGAACAAGGCCTTTAGATGCGCGTGAAATGGCACGTTATCCACTGGACGAAGACTGTGGAGCTAGCTGCATTTCGTCGGATGTTGTTAATAATTTCGGGTCCCCGGTGGAGCATAAAGTAGGGCTAGCACTGGACGACACAGAGTGCAAATTCTGCAGCAGGGCTGCCGTAGCTCAGCTAAGATCACCGGCTTAACGTTTTTCCCAAGAACCAGTACGAGTGTAGCGGAGCGCAAATCGCTACCTCCAAGTGCTTAGAACCTTGACCAAGGAATTGTATTTAATTGTTTTAGCTGCGGCAGAGCTGCCTCTATCCAAAACCCTAGGATTTCCAAATAAAATATAGCAATACCTCACTAATATAGAAAACCTAGTGAATATAGTAATCCTGCCACGTGGCGGCTTCTTGTTTCGGTGTAGCCACACCACTGTATTATTACACTAACTGTGTAATACACACCTATGTACGGTCGCACATTTGTGCGACCCGCCCTTTTCTTACAAGTGGCATGTGTTACTCCGTTAAATGTTCACACTGGTCTTGCCGAGACGTAAAATCTCTGATTGGAGGTGATGACTACGCCGTATGTTATCTGCAAGACACTGGACGTCGACCCTTGCCCCGGATGTGTCTACCGTAGACGATAGCGCACAGCTAGGCATCCTCGTCAACGGTAGGAAGACGACGATATCACCGTCGAGGCTATTCCTGCGGTAGATGCTCTCTTGAGCTTGACGAGTTGCTCTTTGAAGAGTCCGGCAGTGCCCTGAAGGCAGGAGACTTAGACGAAGTGGTCATTATACGACCGGAAAAATAGGTTGTCGTGTCGTCGATGCCATAAGAGCTGTCAATTGCACCATCAACATTCAATTGTCTTGTGACGCAATTGATCAGGGCCCACCGGGCGTATGCATCAACATACTTCGACGACACCTTCGTCCACAGTCGTATGCGCACGGGGGGAAAGATAAATAAGACCAAAAGGGCCATTTGAGAGCGGTGCTCGAGTGCATGCACTCAAATAAGCTGCATGGTAATGCCGATAAGTGCATCTTCGACGCGGAAAAAAAATTGTCTTTAGGGTGCTTTTTTGAGAAGCGTGGCCTTCGAGCGGATCCCGCTAAGGTCGACGCCATTATGGGCTAGCTGGTTCCAAAGCTAAAAGGGCTTGCGCAATTGGCTTGGCCTCGCTAACTACTTGCACAAATATAGCGCAAGTTATACGGAAATGGCACGGCCATTGTCTAATCTCCTTAAGAAGGATAAGAAATGGTGTTGGGACACCAAGCATCGGGAGGCTTTTGACATAGTCAAAGACATCATCCTTCATGCACCAATACAAGCGTTGTCAGACCCCGATCGTCCTTTTAGTGTCGTCTATGACGCTTCGGACTTTGCCATCGGCTGTGCACTGCTACAAGCAGACGCTGAGGGGCGAGATCGGGAGATCGCGTTCGAATCTTGCCAGCTTGAGGCTGCGGAGATGAACTAACCAGTCCACGACAAGAAATTACCTGCGATGAAGTATGCAGTTATCAATTTCAGGTGCACCTGCTTTGCTCAAAGCCGTTTGTGATCTACACAGATCATGCGTCGTTATGCACTGCGACTCAGTTCTCCTCACCTCGCAGCGGATGGCCAGGTGGCTTTCGTTCTTTGCGGAGTACAACTACGAGGTGAAGTATAAGCCAGGAAAGCAGAATGCTCTGGCTGATGCGTTGTCACGCAGACCGGACTATGATCTTGCTTGTAGCGCTGGTACAGGCTCGCGGATGCAAGTAATTTAAAAACTCGGACAAGAAATTGTCGGCGCGTTTGCGCGCACGATTACACCGATATTCGTTTAGTTACGGGTTGCTGCATCATAGCATCATTTAAAGGATACACCACGAATTGTGGTTCCTAACGGTTGGGAAAATACCGTATCCTCTATGAGGCCCACGACACCCCAATCAGTGGTCATCTGGGTCGTGAGAAGACATACAGCTCGGTGAGTTGCCACTATTGATGCCCAAGCTGAATAAATGGACAGAACATCTGTGCGCACGTGTGAGGCGTGTCGGAGGTGAAAACACTCTCCGAATGCAGCGGCGCCGCTGGCCAGTTTATTGAAACCCTTCTGGTGTTGGTAGTCCATGAGTATGGACTTTGTAATTGGCCTACCAAAGGACTCGATGGGCAACATGGGTGTGGTGGTCTTTGTGGAACGTTTGAGCAAGATGGCTCATCTTACGGCAATCCCGGACACCATCGACGGTGTGGGTACAGCGGCGCTGTTTGTCGAGCGTGTCTTTCGACAACATAGACTCCCGGAGTCAATTGCCTCTGATAGAGATCCATGCTTCACTGGAAAGATTTGGTCTACAATCGTCAGGGTGCTGGGCATCAAGTTGACTATGTCATCAGCGAACTATCCGCAGACCGATGGTCACTCTGCGTAAATTGCGTCATTGAAGACGTTCTTCGCAGCGTCTGCGCTGAGACGCCGAAGCACTAGAGCGCCATGCTACCACTCGTAGAGTTTGCTCTGAACAATGCAGTGCATTCATCCACCGGGTACACGCATTTCCACGTGAATGGGCTTGTTAATCGTCGCGTTTGCTGGCGCCGCCATCTCATGGCTTACGGCTTGATGGGGGAGGGAACAGTCGAACGGCTAGCTGATGTTAGCCCCCTCACCATCCGCAAGAAGTCGATGACATACTGCCTACTAGACTGAGTGTTTAACAACACGTTCGCGATGCGATAGCTGAAAGCCGAGACATGCAGAAAGAACATGCAGACGGAAGAAGCAGAATAAATGTTGAATATTGAGGTCGGAGACCTGGTTTTACTAATAGCTAAAAACCTTCCCACACATGCAGTCTCTGCTTGAACGGAGCTCTTAAGACAGAGCTCCATCCGAGGTTTATTGGACCTTTTAAGGTCGTGGCCAAGCGAGGTCTTGCGTATACGCTAAACCTTCTGAGAAGAATGCGCAACCCGGTTTTTTATGCGGGCTAGCTCAAGCCGTATCGTGAACCGGCGCAAATGAATGCAGATGCGTTGGCGCTGGGGCGGCGCCTAAAAGCGCTCGACCACCCAGAAGTTGAACCAGCAAATGGTTTTGAGCACGGAGTGCAAAAACTTGTGTTTCAACCGGCGCCAGGCGCCCCACCGTCGCACGAAGTGGCTAAGAGCCGCTTCGGCAGAGTGTGAGAATCCCCAACGTGAGGCAGTCGGTGCACACAGTGCTTCAATCTTTCGAGGTCTTCCGCACAGCGGTATGCAACCCAAGCATGATGATCAGCGGAGTCCCGATCACGACGGAACTTGTCATCGAGAGCTCGAAGAGCATCGCGAGTCACCGGGCGGCGATCGACCGAGTCGTTATCGTCCGCCGCCGACTCTT